CTTCAGAAGGATATTGATACCTTAGAGAGGGTTCAGAGAAGGGCTACTAAACTGGTTCATGGATTGCGGGATAAAACTTACCAGGAAAGGTTAAAGGATCTTAACATGTATAGCTTGGAGGAAAGACGAGACAGGGGGGATATGATAGAAACATTTAAATATATAAAGGGAATCAACACAGTAAAGGAGGAGACTATATTTAAAAGAAGAAAAACTACAACAACAAGAGGACATAGTCTTAAATTAGAGAGACAAAGGTTTAAAAATAATATCAGGAAGTATTACTTTACTGAGAGGGTAGTGGATGCATGGAATAGCCTTCCAGCTGAAGTGGTAGAGGTTAACACAGTAAAGGAGTTTAAGCATGCGTGGGATAGGCATAAGGCTATCCTAACTATAAGATAAGGCTAGGGACTAATGAAAGTATTTAGAAAATTGGGCAGACTAGATGGGCCGAATGGTTATCTGCCGTCACATTCTATGTTTCTATGTTTCTATGTACATAACATGTGTGTAGTAATATATATAGAACTGAAATGCTGACTTTTTAGTTGTATAGCAGTATGCTATAGTAAATGAATATCGTGGTAAGCCCTGGAGTGCTGGCAACTTTTTCAAACACGTAAAAAATTGACTGCAGGTATGTACTGGGCAAAAGGACAAAAATACAGTTTTGTTTTGGCCAGGAGTGCAAAGCTTTATGGGCAGATTATATATATATATATATATATATATATATATATATATATATCAAAAAGGAATGGCTGCTGACCGGACTTAAACACACAAAAAAATGTATTGAATAATGTTAAAAATCGACCAACGTTTCAGTCCCCATTCGGGACTTTCTTCAGGGTCTAAATAACAGGAAAACATCTATTATGCATACAGGCAAACATTATATAGTGATATAATTAGTAAAGAAACTCACCCAGGTGTCTCTCACCCGCCATCCATTGGGACCATTGTGATTTCCGGATGTGCGGGCACACACTTGCGTGCCCCGCCCACCGTGCCGGCGACAGTACATCTTGGCATGGTGGATGCGTATTGCTCCCAATCACCATGGTGACCATGTAAACAAAGCCCCCTCCGATGTGCATCCATATAATATATATATATATATATACACACACACACACACACACACCCACAATAAATACTATTGTTAGAGAACACTCCATTGCAATTTTAAAATTTTCTTTTCTAATTATTTAGTAGTAATTCCTCCAAAGAAACCATGTGTGTATTGTGTATACAGGTTTTCTTTGTAGATATATAAAAAAGCAGCTTGCAAAAACTGCAGACCTGCAGTCTGTAGCCTTGGCAAGCCCATCCTCCTTTCCTGATAAAGACTTTCAGTCTATTCCAGGCGATTCAGCAATTAGAACCTTCTTGTTGAGAAGGATCTGTGCTGGAACCGTGAGTTTGTGCATGCGTGCATGGCTTTCCAGTGCTTCTCAATGAGTTGTAGAACAACTCTTCAAGATGCGGTGTGGTAGGCGCATTCTAGCCCAGCACGCCTGCCACGTCCATTAGCTCTGTGGAGTGGCATCCAGGGACGTGTTTCTGCCCCCTCTGTCTGAGTTACAGCTAGGGAAGTGTTTCTGCCCCTCTGTCTGAGTTACAGCTAGGGAAGTGTTTGTGCTCCTCTTTCTGAGTTACAGCCGGGGAAGTGTTTCTGCTCCCAGATTGGGTGGCATGGAAGGAGCCACATGGCATATTTTTATCTCCAGCATGGACCACCATGGACATAACAGCAGGGTAAACTGCCATTCCTTTTCTTCAGCAGATATTTCTGACACAACATTTCTACTTTTGGAACCATTTAATAATCTTACATATGAAAAAATGGTAGGTCCTGTAAACACATCTTCTTTAAGCAAGATTTTCAAACCAGTATGGTGCTATCAGCATGGCTAATTAGGGTATACGTTATTTTTGTGAGGAGATAAATTATGAATCCCACACTTGGATTACATAAGATTTTCTTGGCTCCTATCAGAGCAAACATCTCTGCAGACAGAAGAATTTTGCTGTTTCTACTTGTTAAACTGCAGCAATCATGGTGCGTGAATGCTCTGGCACCATATTGTAGTGCCCCACTGTTTACATTCTAAGAGGTTTCCTCTGAGACATTATGACATGGATGTACATTTTTAAAGGTAGCAATAAAAGAGAAGAATATGTAACCATTGCATTCTCTTTAGGAACTTTTGTTGATGCCTTTTATAAAAATTGTCTTATATGGCCCTCATAAGTAACCTAATTCCTTAATTTCACCAATTGGTGAAAGGATGTCTCTCTTGGGAATATTTGATAATGAATTGTGTTATTGAGAGTAGTGTATGACTAAGGTGGTTTTGTTGATACTGACTAGATTGTGTATAGATCATGTCCCTGCAGTCTCACAGCTTAATTATCTGCATTCAGGAGTTTAATCACTTTGTTAATGCAGCCCTAGATATAACTCCCATACTGTGACTTTAGCAGCCAACATACAAAAGGCTTCATATTTGGAGCATAGTGTGTTTATTTTATAAGTTATTTTCCTGCTCTGTTAATTGAACTTTAAAGGATCACTATAGTTACCAGAACAACTACAGCTTATTGTATTTGATTTGGTGAGTAGAATCATTCCCTTCAGGCTTTTTGCAGGAAACACAGTTTTTTCAATGAAAAGGCCGTGTTTACATTACAGCTTAGGGATTCCTCCAGTGGCCACTGCTCAGAGGTCTACTAGAGGTTCTTCCTGGGGCACTGCATCACAGTGTGACCCTATAGTGTTCCTTTAATTGTACATAGTAGGCTCCAGCAGGCAATTAACAGAGTAGGAAAAAATAACTTCTAAAGTAAAACACACTGCAATAACATTGAAGTCCATCCCTGCAAGCGCGCTGTCTTGGCGTCATACTTGACTCTGGTCTCACCTTTGAGCCTCACATCCAGTTTGTTGCCAAGTCCTGTAGGTTCCAACTCAAAAACATAGCCCGCATTCGCCCCTTTCTTACGCAAGATGCTACCAAGGAGCTTGTCCATGCTCTAGTAATTTCCCGCATGGATTACTGTAACCTTCTCCTGATTGGTCTCCCCAAAAGCTGTATTGCCCCGCTACAGTCTGTCATGAATGCTGCAGCTAGACTGATCTTCCTCTCTAGTCGGTCCTCCCACACCTCACCCCTCTGCCAGTCCTTACATTGGCTCCCTGTATGCTATAGGAGTCAATTCAAAGTGCTAACCCACACATTTAAAGCACTGAACAATTCCAGCCCCACTTATATCTCTTCACTAATCCATAGATATGCCCCTCCTCGTACCCTTCGCTCTGCCAGTGACCACCTCCTGACCGCTGCTCGCACCCGTACGGCCAACTCGCGCTTGCAGGACCTCTCGCGGGTGGCTCCTCTCCTATGGAATAGCTTGCCTACTGCCATCAGACTCTCCCCTAGTCTTCAATCATTTAAGAAGGGCCTTAAAACCCATCTCTTCAGGAAAGCTTATGGCCTCCCTGAGTAATCTCTACCTTACATACCTGTCTCCTGCTCTCTCCTATGGTACAGTGCTTTGCTCTCTCCTCCAGCTCTGCTTCACTCCTACTTGATATTTCTTGTCCTAATGTTTCTCATCTGAGCAGGGTCCTCTTCATCCTATTGTTCCTGTAAGTTTTCTTGTAATTGTCCTATTTATTGTTACATCCCCCCTCTCAAAATATTGTAAAGTGCTACGGAATCTGTTGGCGCTATATAAATGATAATAATAATAATAATAATAATAACAGAAGTTTAAAAGTTAGACCTGATTTTTAGGAAGTGTGTAGGATCTAGAGTTAAAGAAGTTGTTGTTTTTTTTATGTTCATGGTTTACTACCTTTGAATCTATATACTGTATTGACATGATATTCTTAGTCATCTAACCATATCTCAGTGTGGTGTCAGTGATTTACAACATCTCAGTTGCACCTTTCTGATTTTACATTATTATAAGGCCATCGGGAGAACTTCATAATTATTCTGTCTTGAGGTTGATAAAGCACAGCTCCTACATTTTTTTTAGAGATGTGTATAAACAGCAGGGAGTATTCTCCACACTTACAAAATAGTTGGAGCGCTCAAGCATTATATCACCATTATTAATTTTTAGACAGGGGATAGGTCGAAAGAGTTTGCTGTGACTCTACTTGGCGGGCTCAAGTCTCTGATTCAACATTCCTATTCTTTAGAAGATAAGATACCACACTTGACAGTTTATCTGCCTTCTCTACTAAACATGATGCTCTTTTTTGGGCATTCTCTTATGATTGCAATTGGTGTGTAAAGGACTGAACTTGTTTGTAATGTGTGTTCCATGTTTTACTGTTAAGAAGTGTTCTCATCTAGGCACACTGTATAGTTTCATGCCCTGTTCCAGCTTTCACATTTAAAAAATCCGATATGCAAAGGATACCAGCATGGGAAAATGTTGTAATATACCTTCTGTTGTATGGAGACTGTTCACAAAAACTCTTCTTTATTTTTAGTTTGGGTGCACTTGCTTGTTTTCTTAAATTATGACCTCCCTGTGTATCCGAACTGTTTCCGTCACCTCCTCCTCAATTATTCAATTAGTTGGGTATTCTTGGAGGAGGAAGAAAGCTGTGGCAATTGTGTTATGTTCCTCTAATTATCCTTACTAAAGGGGCACAACAAAGCTTTGCTCCTAATTACTAAAGAACAACTTCACAGATCGTCACAATAACGAAGAAAAGTAATTAATAGTGATTTTATTCAAGTACTGTAAACTACCCTGATTAGAAATGCTGCAAATGTGTTGTACACCAATGTACCTTTGCAGAATACGCTATTCATCAATTTATTTGTAAATAACGTGCACTACATAGACTATAAAGAGCATTATAGTAAATTTGACAAATACCATAGGTATGTCGGATAAGAGCATGAGGTAATATTAACAATTTATTTATGAGACATCATTGATATCTGATCAAATGCAATATTCAGAGTATTTTTTCAACATAACATTGATACTAGGAGAGCTTTCAAGGTAATGTATTTATTTGTTTTCAACCAAATGCTACGAGTAAAACAACAAAAAAACATAACTCCACAATGCAAGTAGGTGGATCATAGCAATAAAAATTAAAAAAGAAAGTAACGGAAATTAGCACATACTACTTACCTTGAAGCAGCTATCTCCACTTTTGTCCTTGCCACAGCAGCAGCTCTCTGTGCTCCCTCAACCGCTCTGTCTACTTTTTCCTTTGTTTTTGTGTTTTTTATCGGTATGAGCTGCTTTCTTATTCCACGGACCAAAACATTGTTTTTATACTTCCCTTCTTCTTTTGTGCCATCTCGAAATATAGTACATCCATACCCGTGCCTTCTATTATTCAACCATTCACCTTCATATTTCATTCCATCTGTGCGCTCGCTGACACCAAACCCAGAACGCTTATCATTCTTCCATTCTCCCATGTAGGTTTCGGTTGTTGTGGCATCTACGCGATCTTCTGTTGGACAATAGTCACAGTCCCCATCTCCAAAGCTAATTGTAGAGTTGGCATCACTTGAACTAATTCTACTCATTGCTGCATCACTCCTCACTGAGCTGCGTTTGCTAGAAATGGAGATCTTCGACTCGGATTTCCTAAGTTTAATGCTACCAAGTAGAGATCCTCTTCTGAATAAACCTTTCTTTTTGCCAGTCATCAGCTCTGAATCACTGTGAAAGTTCAAAACAAAACCCCCACGTGTCCCTGCTGGACTGTCAGCTCCGATGTCATGAAGTACAGTGCCATTACTTTGCTCACTGCGTAGAGATGACAGAGAGGTTCTGAGAGGAGAACGAATAACTGTAGCCATGGCATAGGGGACACTTTGCCGTACTCCATGTCCATGTCTCATTCCCCCCATCCACTGGCCCTGGTATGTCCCTGCAAAAGAACAATTGGATGTTTAGTCAAACAGTAAAAAGAATGAAAAGTTATTACAAAACAACTACAATAAATGAGTAATCACCTGTTTAAGAAACTTGGATTCAACTACACAGAATCAGTTATTATACAAACATTTGTTAAGAGTAAATATCTATATATAGTGAACTACAAAAGTTAATTGCACGTGTGGTTCTCTGTTTTTATGCACAAGATTATAGAGATCTCTCTTCAAAGAAACAGTCAGTTCTAGAATTGCAACCACTGACCAATTTTTTTATGAGGGTTTTTCTCTTCCTTTGAAGGGACACTATAGTCACAAAAACAAATTTAGCTTAATAAAGCAGTTTTGGTGTATAGACCATGCCCCGGCAGTCTCACTGCTCAATTTTCTGCCATTTAGGAGTTAAATCTCTTTATTTATACAGCCCTAGTGACGCCTCCCTGCATGTGACTTACACAGACTTTCTAAACACTTCCTGTAAAGAGTCATCTAATGTTTGCATTTCCTTTATTTAAAATTCTGCTTAATTTATAATTTCTTATCTCTTGCTCTGTTAATAGCTTGCTAGACCCTGCAGGAGCCTCCTATGTATGATTAAAGTTCAATTTAAAGAGCAGGAAATAAACACTTTTAAAGTAAACTACTATCTGAATGAAAGTGAAACCATTTTTTCATGCAGGCTGTGTGAGTCACAGCCAATGGAGGTGTGGCTAGGGACAGAAACAAAATAATTTTACTTATTAATGGCAGAGCATTGAGCAGTTAGACTCCAGAGCCATTATCCTTACACCCATACTGCATCATGAGCTTGTTGTTTTGAGGACTATAGTGTCCCTATTAGTTTGAAAGCAGGAATATAGCAAAGAGACAATCACTACAGCTCATTGTGGTTCAATGCAGAGTAGTGGTAATGGTGCAATAAGTCTTTGGGTGGCAAACCAACACATATAGCCAACCATTGCTATCCAAAGTTGGACAGTTTTGGACAGCTAATGCAGAAGTATAACTGTAGAGCGGCTTTCAATTGTGTGCCAAGAACAGCTGTAGTGGCTCTCTGTACAAAAAAACCCAAAACATTCTTCTAAAGTATTTCAAATTTTGCAAAACAGTCTCAACTTGAGACCCATGTCCCTTTAAAGAGTCTTCGATCTGAAGGACACCACAAAAATCCCCTAAAATTGTATCAATAGCAAGTTATGTACTCTAAAAATCCATACAAGTGCTTCCGCAGTCACGGAAATATATGTCCACTCAGAGTGCATGTTTGCTGCACTAACAAATCTCTGTTTGCCAGTAACATTGGCTTTCATAAATTTGCAATTATTATTATTATTTTTTTTTTTAAAACCAATAAAAATACAGAATCCGAACCGATTGGTTAAAACTGCAGTTAAACCACAGATAATTTTGCCTCCTTCTATGAAAAATGGATACAGCAAAATTAATCAAAATCTTGTAGATGGAAAAGGTTACAAGCAGATATTATATACATATATATGTTCAAGTCAATACTTCTATTTTTAGTACTTATGCCTTGTTGACTCCTTGAATAGATGTGTAATTTTATTTATAATTCCATAATGTTTATAATAAAACAGAAATGTGCTGCTAATTATGTGGGGGATGTTTGAAAGTTATAGTATTGTGTCAAAAATATCATGCAATTCCTCTATGCATTTCTCGATCACAGATGACAAGTAAATTGAGCCATGTGGTGAACAGGATGCTACATAGGAAGAACTGGCAAGAGTTATCTGCAGTGAAACAGAATGAATTATAATCACGGCAAATTCCATAGAACAGCAGTGGATTCATACTTAGGTTGCCAAGAACAGACAGAGATTATTGCCAAAATACTTAAAGGAACACTTCAAGTACCATTACCACTACAGCTCACTGTAGTTTTGCATGTTTTCTTTGGAGCTATATGACATTTTGGCTTGCAACAGCTGCATATATAGCATGTTCAGATACTGCAAGCATTCTCCTATGTCCCCAGCTCAGACTTTCTGTGGCTGTTTAGTCACAGACTTCTGAATTAGCTGCATTATAGGTCAGTGAAAAGTCATTGCAGAGCTATGGGCAATTGTCTGGCTCTGGAGCTTAGCTTCCCACAGAGTATCACAGTGTATCCGGATCGTCTGTCTGACACCTGGGAAGGTGTAACAAGGTTAACTTATAAAAGTGACAATTCCTGCTGAATTTGGCACTTACATACAATGAAAAAAAGAGGACACTCTCTTCATACATAAAGCACTTCTGCAAACTGAAGCTCTTTATGGGTTTGGTATGTTCCTCTAAAGGGGAACTCTAAGCACCAAAACAACTTTAGCTTAATAAATTTGTTTTGGTGTATAGATCATGCTCCTACAGTCCTGACGGATCTATACACCAAAACAGCTTTGCTGGGTAGATTACATTAAGATGTGTCACTTTCAGGGCTCTCAACATATTTTGCAAAGATCCCAGAAGGCGACTGTAATGGAGCCTCCTGTACCCCGGTTGGGTACCTCTGCCGATGGATGCTCCTAGTGCACAATGAGGACTCCAAGCACTCCACCAGACACCATCAGCACCGCAGTCCCCACGTCTAGCGTTATAGGTTGGCTGGGAACTTGCCGTCTCCTACCCACCCTGGACCTACGACAAGGAACCAGGTTCCAGTGGGTGAACCTCTCTTCCTCCAGAGAGTCAACCAGGAACACCTTTTAAAAGATCTTGATTATAATCCCTGGGGAATATAGTGATATAGCAATCCCCAGGGTAGATGCAGCCTTTTCCCCCACACATGAGACAAGACTATGTTGAGGGTAAAACAGGAACTCCGCTTTAATGGGGCACACTGGCTTTTTATGCAAGTTTCCCAACAAGGTTGACACCCAGGTGGACCTTGTTGGGCACAGGACACAAATATGCAAGCCAATAAAAACAATATGACAATGAATGACACTCCCACATACAGTACACAATCCCTCCCCTATGCCTGTGATATAATTAAGGCAGATAATGCATTAACTTAATTGTCGACAGGCAGAAAAAAACAAACACATTGTTACAAAGTCCAATAAGTACCCAAAACACAACATATCCCCATAAAAGTCCCATCTCCTGATCTGGGTGAACAACATATCCAAAAATAACCCAGATCGGTTTAGGAATTTCCTGGAAGTCATAGTTTTGACCAACCGTGCACATGGTCCTATGCCCAAAAGAGTTCCAGGGAATTAGGCCCAACGGTCGGTCTCTCTTTATGCAGTACAAAAGTACTTACATTACATGAATGGAGCTTTTAAAAGTGTATTGGGCAAGGTATATTGCAGGGCCCATAGTCACAGGGTAGGAAGCAAGTTAACCAGTGGCGAGGTCACTTTCGCCACAGCGACATCTATAGTTAGTTTCCTTAGCCATCTACTTCCTGGAGACCTTCTTTTGTTCATTTGCCATGAGCCGCTTTAGTGATGTACTAATGGGCATGCATGAGAATACAACAGTGAGCACTGTAGACAATAACCCGAGACCTCGGAAGCCTCCATAGATCCCGTCTGGCATTGAGCAAGACGATGTCTGAATCCCACAGGTGTCGCTTGTGACGTCTGCTGGGATTGGACAAAAGTTGACAGCAGAGCTCGCATTTTGTCAATCTCAGACTTTACCATAAAACAAAGTAGTCCCTACTGTGTCTTATTCTATCTTTGTTTGGATTGTATTGGAATTTCAATGTGGACCCTCTTTTAATAAAGCAAATAGTCTAATAAAGGTGTTCTACAAAATGTAAAAATAACCATGGTTTCCAAGACACTGATAGAGTCCTGCATAGATTTTAATTTTCTAGTCATGTCATGATTTGGTTTTTAAACAGGGAGGAAGGAGTCTGCACTCATAAAATATATATGAAACCAGGTGCAGAGTTGGATCCAAGGTTGGCAAACCCCATACATAAAGGTAAACTAATGTGATCCACACACTCAAGGTACAAAAGTTAGAAGATTTGGAGAATCAAAACATAAAGAGCAATGTTTCAACCTCCAATTAGATCTTTATCAATCTAAAACCACAATAACACAATCCGTATATATATATATATTATTATTATTATTATTTTATTATTTATATAGCGCCACCAAATTCCATAGCGCTGTACAATGGGTGGACTAACAGACACATAATTGAGATCAGACCACTGACGTACAGGAACAGAGAGGTTGAGGACCCTGCTCGATGAGCTTACATGCTAGAGGGAGTGGGGTATAGTGAAACAAAGGGTTAAAGTAGGGGAATTACATAGTTTGTTAGAGAAGGGTTTATGGAGTGCTTGGTAGGTAATTTTTGACAGTTGCAGGAAAGGAGTCATGGGGTGGGGGATGAGAAACCTGCTGACGGTTTAATTGATACGCTTTAATGAAGAAGTGAGTTTTCAAAGATTTTTTGAAGGAGTGGAGGCTGGGTGAAAGTCAGATTGAGGAGGGAAGGGAGTATGATGGGACATACTTGTGTATGAGGGAGGATAGGTATGTTGGAGCAGCATTATGTAGGAATTTGTAAGCAAGCGCCAGAATTTTGAATTGGGCCCTATATCTAACTAGAAGCCAATGCAGGGACTGACAGAGCGTGGAGGCGTGGGAGGTGCGACCGGACAGGAAAATAAGCCTCGCAGCCGTATTCATTATAGATTGCAGCGGTGCAAGCTGGGAACATGTAAGACTGGTGAAAAGGGGATTGCAATAGGCAAGGCGAGAGAGAACAACAGCATGCACCAGTACCTTAGCCGCGTCCGGCGTTAGATATGGGAGGATGCGCGCTATGTTCTTGAGTTGGAAGCGACAGGATTTGGCTATCGATTGGACATGGGGAGTAAAAGAGAGATCAGAATCAAAAAGAACCCCTAGGCAGCAAGCCTGGGAGGTAGAGGTGATAGTAGCGCTGTTGACTTGGATGGAGACAGACACAGGAGTAGCAGCACTTGAGGGAGGAAAAACTAGAAGTTCTGTTTTGGACAGGTTGAGTTTAAGGAAGTGAGCAGCCATCCAGTTGGAAATAGCAGAGAGGCAGTCAGAAACATGAGTCAAGGTGGGCGGAGAGAGATCAGGGGAGGACAGGTAGATTTGCGTGTCGTCTGCATATAAATGGTATTGGAAGCCAAAGGAGCTGATGAGTTTACCAAGGGAGGCAGTATAGATAGAGAACAGAGAGGGGTTGGGGAGAAGAGGCAGAGCCAGAGAAAGAAAAACTGAAAGAGCGCTGGGAGAGGTAAGAGGAGCACCAGGAGAGAGCAGTATCCCGTAGACCAAAATTATGGACACTGTTGATGATCAACAGTGTCAAAGGCGGCAGAAAGATCAAGGAGGATTAGGATAGAGTATTGGCCGTGAGACTTAGCAGCAATTAAATTGTTGGATACTTTGGTCACAGCAGTTTCGATAGAGTCACCAGCGCGGAATCCAATAAATGAATAAATATCACATAATTACCCATAGATACAAGTGAAATTGCAAAACACACACCTACTTAGTTAATTGCATGAACTGCATCAAGTGATATGCTAAATGCTATTTTGGGACCACTGCCTTGCTAAAGAAGCTGAAGGTAAAGATGATGGACTGGCCAAGCATGTCTCCAGACCCAAACCATATTGAGCATCTGTGGGGCATCCCCAAATGGAAGGTGGGGGAGCGCAAGGTCTCGAACATCCACCAGCTCTGTGATGTTGTCATGGAGGAGTGGAAGAGGACTCCAGTGGCAACCTGCGAAGCTATGCTGAACTCCATGTCCATGAAGGTTAAGGCAGTGCTGGAAAATAATCGTGGCAACACAAAATATTGACACTTTGGGCCCAGTTTGGACATTTCCACTTAGGGGGTGTACTCCCTTTGTTGCCAACGGTTTAGACATTAATGGCTGTGTGTTGAGTTATTTTGAGGGGACAGCAAATTTACACTGTTATTCAGGCTGTACACTTACTACTTTATATTGTAGCAGAGTGTCATTTCTTCAGTGCTGTCAAATGAAAAGATATAATAAAATATTTACAAAAATGTGAGGGGTGTACTCACTTTTGTGAGATACTGTATTTGGATTGTGTTATTGGGAGTTAGTTTGATGAAGACCTCATTGGAGGTTGAAACTTTGCTGTTTATGTTGCGATTCTCCAAATAAATCTGCTACCTTTTGCACCTTGAGTGCATGGATCACATTGCTTTACATTTAGGATTTTGTTATTAGTCATGGTTATTTGGTTTTCAGTCATGACTGGCCGTCTTTCTTCTATAAAAGAACACCTTATGCACCATAATCACTGTAGCTCATTGTAGAGAATATGGTACAATAAGCTCTCAGCCTGTCATTGCCATTCAAGGTTGAATGGCTTTGGATGGGTAACGCAGACCGAACAGCTTCATAGGCATTTGGCAACATGGGAGAGCTGTTTTTATCACATGCGAAAAAAATGGTTTGGCACAAACTACAGATGGCGAAATGTACCATAACCACTTCAATCAACTGCAGCGCCTCTTTACCTGGTTCAGGAATAAAACAATTAGTAACATCAGGAAGGACAGCAAGGTAAATGTTTTGTAATCATTACTAGAAAAATGCTATTCAGTGATCAAAATCCCTGGGTAATGAAACAAAACCTTTCCACTAATTCATTTATAGTCAAGTATGCAAAGCAGAACATGTAGCTCATGAATAAATCAATGCGGAGTAAAGAAAGCATATTAGAAGCAAAGCCATTTTTGCATTAATAAGAGAAGCAATTTCAACAACATTGGTTCCATTTACAAAAATACCATTGCACCTGCATTAAATATTTACTTTTACATTTTAATATCTACTGTTCCTCTTGTAGATATTTGTGTATGCTATATCAAGTCAGACAGATGTTTAATTCACTGAAGTGCTGTGATTCAAGAACAAGTAAACATGTTAATAGAAAGCTGTGGAAGGCAAGTCAGATATCAGGTTCCACAAACAAGATAGACACAATGATAAATAAATCTGGGTGGGTGGGGGGTTGAGTAGGGGCACGTTTGTTTATTGACCTTAGTTAAAGTACCTGTAGCATCATGTTATAAAAACCGTATTGCAGTGTGATGTGGCAATGTGCATTGAGATACTATCCAGAGTATGTATGGGGTGCATTGAACAACAGCTGTAAATAGCAGGGCACAATCTCTGGCATTCCAACAATTTTGGAATTTAAAATAAATAAATAAATAAATCTGTAAATATGAATGGCATTCTTACACAACAAAATTCATATCCTACAATAGACTACATTACACCTAAAACTAGAGTTCCGGGTTGGCTGATGTCAATTCTGTGCAAAGCACAGTAAGTCATTGGCCGAGAGTTGTCAGCAGATGCTCCCCCCAAATAAATTTGGACAGTAGCAACATGTGACTTTTGCAGAGCCTTGTCACCAAACCATCAGGGAGCCTCGGAACCCTAAGATCGATGTAAGGGGTCAATCCATTGCTAAATGGTTTGTCCCATTACTGGGGAACCAGGTCAGGGTATCTCTGGCATCATAATCATAAAACAGGTGAGTGACCCTTTTAAATATATATAAATTTATGTACCACATAATCTGTACAATACAGGCCCATGTCACACTCATGACTGTAAGTAAAAGTTAGTTAAGGGACTAAAGTCACTCTTAGTACTTGGGGCGAGAACTATTTCATGAGTATTTGAATAGTGGAAGCATCCATCCATCTATACTCTTTTATCAAAGGAACACTATAGGGTCAGGAACTCAAACATGTATTCCTGACCCTATAGTGCAAAACCCACCTTAAGATGGCTTGCCCTCCCCCCACCAAAAGCATGAAAAACTCACCTTATTTCCAACGCTGTGCAGGTCTGCCGGCTCTGGCCTGCCCCCTTAGCGACATCATCAGAATTGCAGATTTTTAGCCAATCCAATGCTTTCCCATGGACGACAGAGCTGCCTACTGTGCAGCACTGAGCCAGGAAGCACCTCCAGTGGCCATCTGAGGAGTGGCCACTTGGAGGTGTCCCTACGGACAATGTAAACACTGCCTTTTCTCTGCAAAGGCAGGGTTTGCATGAAAATGCCTGAAAGCAATGATTGTACTCACCAGAACAACATTAATAGTGTCCCTTTAACCCCTTAACGCCGTTATGGCGTTCTATGCCGTCGCGGCTTTAACTGCTTTAAAGCCGTTGCGGCGGCATAGAACGCCGTAACGGCTTAAGCCCCCAGGGGATGGCAGCTACTTACCTCCGCTGCGATCCTCTTCTGGAGGGCTGCCTGACCGCCCAAGCAGCCCTCCTCCGGCGAATGAGGCCCCCGGGGGCCATGTGATCGCTCTCAAAGAGCGATCACATGGCCCCCTATAGCTGGCTGTGGATCTGCCAGCAGGGGGACTGTCTAATATATCAGACAGTCCCCCTGCTGGTGGGAAATGTAAAAAAAAAAAATAATAAACATGTGTAAAATAAAATAAATAAATATATATAACGTCATACGTTGTGTATTTTAACATTAATATTAGTATATATATTAGTATTAAAATACACTTAGAATGACGTTACATATATATAATATGTTTATTATATATATATATATAATAGATATATACACATATATTATATGTGTATATATATATATATATATATATATATGTATAATTACATTAATAAATAAAATAATAAAAAATAAAATATTGAAACAAAATTTTATTAAAATTATATATTCATATGTAATTTCATTCTAACTGTATTTTGTTATTAATATATATATATTGGTAACAAAATACACTTAGAATGACATTCTATATATATCTATCTATATATAAAATACAAATAACCGCAAATTATATATATATATATATATATATATATATATATATAAATACATATAATTACATAAAAGATTACAAATATGAACGCTAACTTTGGCCAGTGTTTGTGACTAAGTGGCTATTAAAAAAGACTAAACATACCCCACGTTCAATACCTTGGGTTGTCTACTTTTTCAAATGGTATGCCATTATGGGGGTAATTCTCATTCCTGGGCTACCACACCGTCTCAAGGTAACATTACTAATGTGGCAAATTTCAATTTGAAAATGGAATGTTCTATATTTGACCCTGTAACTTTCCAAAACACCATAAAACCTGTTAATGGGGGGTACTGTTGTACTCGTGAGACATCGCTGATTACAAATATGTGCATTTTTATGCAGTAATACCGAACAGTATTATGACATTAACAGCTAAAATGTCAGACGGAAATACAAATTTTTAAAAAAAATCTTATTTTCTAAAAAAATTTTACATTTTATTCATAATAAATGATGTTCCATATATGAATAATTAATGATAAATTAAAGCCCTGTTTCTCCTGAACAAAATGATATATAATAAGTGTGGGTGCACTTAATGTGACAGCGGTGAATTACGGGTGAACAGACATTTAGTGCAAATTCCAGTTTTTGTTTTGATCAGAACGTGTACTATTGACTCCGTCCTGAAGGGGTTAATAAAGTGATTTAGCATAAGCCAATCAAAAGGTAAATATTTACATGTGTGTTTCAGTGCAGGGCAGATTTCCTATTTTGCAGAGTAGGAACTTAACCACAGACACCTATTTTGGAGTGGAGCATATTTTTACTACTTATAATGTGTCTTTTTGGAGTTAAGGTGGGTAGGTGAGTAGAGCCAAGTACCAGGAGCCTTGGCCAGTGTACAATGTAATTTTGTCACCCACCTATGCTTGATAGCAAGCAGTGGCGGAACTACCGCGGTCGCAGGGGTTGCAGCTGCGACAGGGCCAGTCACTGCAACCACGGTGCCCGCCGAGATTCTGGTGCGGCCCTGGCCGCGCGGAACAACTGCCGGGGCCACATAGACGGGGCCCATCGGATGGCCCATGCTCTTGAGGCCTCCCAATGGCAATGAATTACCTGGGGCGCTTTAAAGGTGATGACGTCAGAGCACCCGCTGGCGCTGGGAGAAAGCCGTCACTTCCTTCCAGCTAAGAGAGAGTCACGCGGGAAGAGAGAGCGCCAGGGAGGAGAAGAGGGAGTCAGAGTAGGAGCTCTGACTCCCATCAGCCGAAGGCAGCCACTGGACCCCAGGGAAGTCACCCTCCTGCACCAAAGGTAGGAAACAGGAGGGTGACTAAAATTAACAGTTTGTGTTTGTGTGTGAGTGAATGTCTGTATTTGTGTGAATGTGTGTTTGCATGTCTGTATCTGTGTGTGTGAATGTCTGCCTGTATGTGTATCTGTTTGTATGTATATCTGTATGTCTGGATGGGTATCTGTTTGCATGTGTGTCAGTGTGTGCCGCTATGTATCTGTATGTGTGTCACAGTTTATATCTGTATGCATGTCATTCTGTGTATCTGAATGTTTGTCATTAAGTGTGTCTGTGTATCTGCATTTGTGTGTCTATGTGTGTCTGTGTATCCGCATGTGTATCTCTGTGCTCTGTATGTTTGTATGTGTATCTGTGTTTGCATGTGTGTCTGTATGTGTAACTGTTTGTCTGTATGTGTGTCAGTGTTTGCCCCTATGTATCTGTATGTGTGTCACTGTTTGTATCTGTGTGCGTGTCAGTGTGTGTATCTGTAGAAGTGTCATTCTGTGTTTCTGAATGTGTTTCATTCTGTGGCTGTGTGTTTTTAAATGCGTGTCTGTGTATGTTTTATATTATACAAATGGAGGGGCGGGGGTCCCTAGGGCAATTTTTGCACCGGGGCCCTGAAGTTTCTAGTTACCCCTCTGATAGCAGGGCTGCAGGAACAGTTATGGAGGGTATAAACATAGCTCCTCCAGAGTTTTTGTGTGAGGCTGGACAGGAAGTGAAAGGTATAATTTCCCATCTGCCTACTAACAGCCTCTGACACAGGAAATATTTTACATGAGGAGCAGACAGCAATTAGTGATTTACACAGTAAAACAGCTCCTGCAGGTATACTCTCAAATCATATAAGAGTACTTCGCAATTAACTATTCAAACTACACACATCTTTATCCTAAATACGCCATTTCCCTTAACCCTTAATTTAAACCCTCCTAAAACTTAAACTATTTCTTATTCCTAAATTTAAGCCTATACCTCAAACAATACCCTCGACCTTAATACTAGGTTTAAGTGCGCTTCAAAATTAAACACAGCATTAACGCCAATACTACATTTTCTCTCACTCTCAATCTAAACTAAATAATAAAAAATATATATATATAAACCTTACAACTATAACCCCTCTCAAGCTTTCAATGCTCTTAACGCTAAACACCCTATGTAATCTAACAACCCGGGTGTAATTGAAACCCTTCCCTTTATCCTAATCATTTCTAACTCTTTTTGTTAACCCTGAATGTATTTACACAACTGCATACACTCACAATATTCACACATTCAAACACAATACATTACAAGCAAAAATATGCACATACATACCATATATAATTTGAAATTACATTTTTTGGATGATTATTATTATTTATTTCTTATGTCTTCAATGCCCAGTTAATAAATAGATTACACTCACTTTATCTGCCTTTTAGAACCAAGTGAAACTCAATCGTGGAATCAAATACTGCTTAAGGCAGCATTTGATTGTAGGAGCGTGGCTTTTGACGGCAGAAGCCTAGTTCCAATGCGGGGGGCTGCAGAGGAGGAGTCTTCTCTGGAGACAAGGAAAATAATCTTTATTTTACTTACATTTTATCGAGCAACAGTCCCTCTCCAAAACATATTGTGCAACAGCCATTCATAATATATTGGATGCATTACAATCATTACTTTAATAATAACTGGAATGTTTTAGGATATAGATATTATTAAATATACATTTCAAAAATAAATAGAATTTTAATATGCTTTCAATTAAACAAATTTACTTCCCACCCTTGTTTCTTCACAAAAAAAATGAAATAAAAAAAATATATAATTTAGATTATAATGCAGAAGTAACAAGTTAAAAATGAACATCTAGTAATTATGCATCAGAATTTTACATATATTAAGACTTTATCCATTCAGAAAGGAACTATCCCCATAGAAACCTTTGCATATGATGACAAGGATACCAACGCAACAATCAGCCCACACATCAATCTGAAGCAAGATACAATGATGTGCGCTTCCAAGGAAAATCTATTCTAACACTCAATGAATAAATGACATAATGCATACAGGTTCTAGTTTACGGGCTATAAAATTAACATGATTCAGAGAGAAATTCAATTACTGTAAGATTATATTAATTTATCTCATTATACCTTTTAAATGGGTGGAAATTAAGAGGAATTAAAGTACATTGAAATTTGAGTATGATACCTCAGGGAAAAATTAGAGAAGAAATTAAAATTAAAAAAGGTGCATACCACATCACAGTAGACAAAAGGTGCATCAAATGCAAATGAGTCTCTTAAAAAACGCACTTTTGTAAATATAATTTTGTACCTAGCAAGTATCTGTATTTATTTAGATTCAAATGAGGCACACTTGCGTACCATCCAGTTGTAGTGGTTATGGTGCTAGCAGGCTACTGCTGTCGTCCTATGGTTTTGTGTCAAACCATTTTCTAGCAGTTTGATAAAAAGCAAGTGTCCCCCAGTGACCTGTGGACTGGTCCCTTGCTGGCTGTAGGACTAATGTGGGATTGACAATTCCACATTAGCAGTGTCAAAATCTGCCATATTTGGGCATCTGAGAACGTCTTTCAATTAACCTTATTTTGAGACAAACTGGTGTCTCATTATTAAGACCCTTTATTTCTGCATATTTTATTTTTAGTCTATGTAAATTTATAAAGGATATATATGTAGAATAGATCTGTGCCACTGCAAATATCACATTTGAATATTTTACTTTAAGGAATACTCATTTGACTGTGTTGAAATCTCATTATCTCATGACTAAGTTCACAAAACTTGACAAAAGGATGAGCTTCTGCGCCCGAGTTTTGTTAAATCCAACAACAGGCATCTTTGTGCACATTGAGAGGGACGGCCTACTTAACCTCCATAGACCTCTTGCGCATTGATGAAGAGTACAGCAGTGATATGGCTCCTTCCAGATGATATGACATGATAGAGCTTAAAGTGTATATATTTCGGCCCCCCTTTTTTTTTTTTTTTTTTTTGCACCCCACACCACAACTTTTCCCCTCTTGATTAGAAGATAAGTTCAAAAAAAGGACAGAAAAATAAGGGGGGAGAGGGGAACGTGATGTTGGAAAGTCCCAAGCTAGTGAGAGAGGCAGACTGGTGATTGTAAAAATGTTATATATATATATATATATATATATATATATATATATATATATATATATAGCTTCATCATTTAAAAAGTGTTTGAAGGTGTTCTTTACTCATTACAATAAAGTCTTTGAAACCTTCATAACATTTATACGAAGGATGGATGACTAACTATATCAGCATTGAAAATCACTGTATAAAAGACTGCAATGTTACACTATAATTCTTCCCAAGCCAGCACTTGGAAGAATAAACTCATTAAAGCAGAAATTTCATGCACTTGACCAAAAACAAACATCTTCTAAAAAGTATCCTAAAAATTCTGCGCTATAAAATGTCACGCTCTGAATCTTTTATGATAAATTGTAGTGCCTAGATGTATAACCTCTGGCTTAAGAACAAATGTGTATTTAACAAGAATTAACTATTCCTCCCACACAGTGTGTCACTAACAAAGCTTACAGAACATTTTGAATGATGTACAAATGTCTTAAATCACTGTATAGTCTATGTATTCTTCCACTCAAATTGCAGAAAAAAACTGTATGGGGAGTAGGGTTGCCACCTACACAGACTGCTGAATACATACAGAGACTGCTGAATACACACACAAAGGTACCTGCCCTCAAGACTGAGCTCCTCCCTCCTCCCACTCCTCCCATGCGGACTCTATCATTAGAGAGGGCAGGGACAATCTCAGCCCTCTTCACACAGCCAAGCACCAACAAGTTTTCTTAGTACAGCCTCAGAGCACTGCACACCCTGGCCGGTGCCAATATTGCAGAATATTCTCTTCAAAGAAAAATACCGGCAATTGTATTGTCTGTATTTTTGCAATACCGGCACCGGCCACAGAGCATCAAATACCGGCTGTGTCGGTAAAATACCGGCCAGGTGGCAACCCTATCCGTGGGGAGTGGGTGGAACTTTTAATATTAAAAATTAATTCTGTTAAAATAAAAAAAAAATCTTCTAAACATGCCATGACTAAATCCAATCGCTTTGTAAAAAAAATGCAAATGGCATTGGCAACGCACTGTTCGAACAAGTATTTGACCTCCACACTACTTCACAGTATGTAAATATGTATGTAAACTTTCAATCTGCTCTACTGTGTTGCTCTGCAAGTATAACAATCCTCAAAGATAATTATGCAAACTGGATTGTCAACTATTGAAGTTATTTAAATTCAACTGAAATCTATTAATTACAGAAGTACAATACTCAGGTCCTTAATGATACTCTAAATTGTCAAAATTTGAAAATATCATTAAAAGAACACGACAAACACCATAACTACAACAGATGTTCCTCGCCTACACTATCAACGCCGGTATTTCCAAAGCAGGAACTGACATTAGCTCTCCTGATCCAAACCTGCAACGCAGAGTATAGCTCATTGCCTGAGATTGTCAGCTGATTGCTTTCCCAGTAGTGTTTTATAAATAAAAGAGTACATCAGACCAATAAAGCTCTAACTTCAGTTTGATTAGGTTTGGAAACTGTAGATTTTAATGTATAAAATAAAATGTAGTCGCCAAGTTTCTTTACTTTACACTAAACATTAAAAAAAATTTGTCGGATTTTCTAATCTCTCAACCAGGCCATAGCTCTCCTCAACAAGCCCCGCTAATTTTCAAGACTCCTCTGTTATTCAAATGTTAATTATTTCTAAATAAATAATTTAAATAACTTGACTGTTAGGCCAGAACTTGTTTACACATGCATATGCCTCAGGTTTGCCAATTTCCTGTTCTTTTTTCAGATGAGAACACTACCCAGTCCCTTTTCAAAGAAAATGTGTAAATAAAAAAATAAAAAAGTACCAACTATGGGGTGAGGAGGGCTACACTTTGCAGAGTTTGAAACGGCCAGTACCGCACTGTTTTGTTGAACCCTCACAGTCCTGGTTAGTCTCACAGCCGATATACACTCCCAGGAGCATAAAAGTTATTTTCAATCAGACAGTACTGTCATAATGGCTGTGTTGTGGATAGTAGTATTGGTAGTGGTTGGGGACCACTCTTATAATATGCTTCTGCTACCCAACAGTACTGTATCCTCACAAAGAGTGGGAGTCCATGACACATCTTTCAGGGTTGAATTTAATGGGCGAATGGAAAATTCGAGCCCTGTTGATTGGATATGGAGACCACAAAAAATTTGTACAGCGTTACCATTGAAGTAACCCTGTAATAAACATTTGTATCTTAAATCGGCTCACAAAACATTGAATAAAACACTTGAAATGTTGTTTGGATAGATTATATATATGAAACGACAGAAAAAATACATAATAGGAACTGATAGTGTAGCAGGTTCAAATCTTCATAGAAAATGAGGTAGGTAAAAATGTGCGCTCACACGTTTAGGGAGCTTCTATCCAGCTCCAACTTGAACACCTGGGCGAAATGACTCCCGCATTGGGGTATTGTGTAGTACTGGTACATCAGGCAGTTCTTATGGCAATACATATTCTCGTAGATATATAGAAGCAGAACAAAATAAAGTAGTATAGTGTTTTGAGGTCAAAGTATTCCTTTAACCCCTTAAGGACATATGACATGTGTGACATGTCACGATTCCCTTTTATTTCAGAAGTTTGGTCCTTAAGGGGTTAAGATAATACTGGGGCTGTAGTGGGTGGACATGGGAAGAGGTGGAGGGATAGTGGCTGTAGTGGGGATAGTGACTGTGGTTGGAGGATAATTGCTGTATTGGGAGAACAGGAGTGATAGTGTAGTGGCCCACAGCTGGAGTATGGGTTGGCCAGTGAGAAGATCAAAGATCTGGCTGCCGCCCTGTGGTCGTGTCCTCGGTGGCCTTATGGCAAATCGCCAATGGTCAGAATATGCAATGATTTCTATGGATAGAGTTTCTTTCTGAAGGCATAAAATTATATATATATATATATATATATATATATATACACACATACATACACATATATACATATATATATATATATATATATACACACAAACACATATATACAGACACACACAAAAGTATTTGATCCCCTGCTGATTTTGAACGTTTGCCCAAGAAATGATCATTCTATAATTTTAATGGTAGGTGTATTTTACAGTGACAGTACATGGCCCCATCCGTCGTCCCTTTGATGCGGTGCAGTTGTCCTGTTCCCTTAGCAGAAAAACACCCCCAAAGCATAATGTGTACACCTCCATGTTTGACAGTGGGGATGGTGTTCTTGGGGTCATAGGCAGCATTCCTCCTCCCTCTCCAAACACAGCGAGTTGAGTTTATGCCAAAGAGCTTTATTTTGGTCTCATCTGACCACAACACTTTCACCCAGTTCTCCTCTGAATCATTCAGATATTCATTGGCAAACTTCTGACGGGCCTCTACATGTACTTTCTTGAGCAGGGGGACCTTGTTGGTGCTGCTGTCACCTTCTCACCAAGCTTCTTGGCGATGGTCTTGTAGCCCATTCCAGCCTTGTGCAGGTCTACAATCTTGTCGCTGACATCCTTGGACATTGTCTTGGCCATGGTGGTGAGTTTGGAATCGGATTGATTGCTTCTGTGGACAGGTGTTTTTTATACAGGTAACGAGCTGAGATTAGGAGCACTCCCTTTAAGAGAGTGCTCCTAATCTCAGCTCGTTACTTGTATAAAAGACACCTGGGAGAAAGAAATCTTGCTGATTGATATGGGATCAAATACTTATTTCACTCATTGACATGCAAATCAATTTATAAAGTTTTTTAAATGCGTTTGTCTGGATTTTGTTTTGTTATTCTGTCTCTCACTGTTAAAATACACGTACCATTAAAACTATAGACTGATCATTTGTTTGTCAGTGGACAAACGTTCAAACTCAGTAGGGGATCAAATACTTTTTCCTCTCCCATGTACATTTAAATAAACCCGGTGCTTGATTGTACTATATAGATAAAGCCAGAAAAAATCAGCACTCCCAGTTCCACTCAGTTCAACTTTCATCAGGACAGAAAAACTGCTGAAAGTTCCCCAGTGGAACTGAAACGTTGACTACTGGAATAAAAATAAAATTCCTGGGAGTGCTGATTTTTTCTGGCTTATATATATATATATATATAGAAAACAGAAAAAAATCAGCGCTAAATGGCCACAATAAATAAAGGCTGCACTCCTCAAAAGGGAATCCCCTATAATTCCCTAATGATTGGAAGAACACAAAACAAACAGTACAATAAGGATGCGCCTAAAATGTATAGTAAAATATATAAAATACAATAAATAATAAAACAATGTATAAAATATGATATAAAAAAAAATAGTTGACGATCGTCCAAAGCTTATCAGAGTTCGTGATTAGGAGTCCCACGTAAAATAAAGGAAGATTCTTTAAGGTGCTTTTTAATAAAAAACGAAGGTTATAAATACTAAAAATAACCAATTAAAATCACGTGACGCGCGATCGCAAACAACAGGCAGATAGCCTTCACAGTGGCACATAGTACTCACTGTCTATCTGCCTGTTGTTATCAGCAGATAGCCTTCTCTCTGTTCGGCCAAACTTTCTCCGAGCATTTGGGAGAATCTATCTCCCCTCTTATGACACATGCGTTCCATACTAACGGAACGCATGCGTTCCACCTAGCATCACGTGACGCGGAAGTGTTTGCGATCGCGCGTCACGTGATTGCTTTTAATTGGTTATTTTTAGTAGTTATAACCTTCGTTTTTTATTAAAAAGCATTGTATCTACCTCACATTCATTATATTAACATATATCTATGGCAAATTATTGTTTTTGTTTGTACTAATTTTTAGATGCTCTGATGATGTCATTTTGGTGGGAATTTTAAATCCATAGCCCCATTGAACCTTATATAAGCCTTTGTATGTCAGGTGTGCCCCTCCTTTTTTCACTTTTATCTACTTGAAGAAGCCCCTGTGGCGAAACGCGTCTAGATATTATTTTATTACGTTACAATAAAGAATTTTTGGCATAAAACACTTTATTGCCATTTTTCTTTTCTTTTCTTTCACCTGACTACCTATATTTTCAGAAGAAGCTTAAAGAATCCATAGGTGGGGATTATACCACCTAAGCGCTTATAAGTGAGCAGTATATACCTGCTCAAAAGAATGTGAGTAATATACATTTTACACTTTTTAACCATTTACCATAATACAGAGAGCACTATATATTTTATTCTCTCCTTCTGGGTCTGTACTTTGGACGTTGAACGTGTACCAGAGAATCGTCATTTGAAATCTACTCCATATATCCTTGAGTGGGGATTATTCCACTTCACGTGCTTAACATCAGAGCTGGATCCTCAGCTTTGAAAATTGTGAGTAAGACCTATTTTATTATTTCATTTTCAACGTATCTACATACTGTACCATTGGAGTTCTGTCTCTTCTTCTCTCCACATATGCTCCATTGAATCCTAAACATACAATTATGAAGATTTGACCTTACTCCACACCTTAAAGAATCTTCCTTTATTTTACGTGGGACTCCTCATCACGAACTCTGATAAGCTTTGGACGATCGTCAACTATTTTTTTATATCATATTTTATACATTGTTTTATTATTTATTGTATTTTATATATTTTAGTATACATTTTAGGCGCATCCTTATTGTACTGTTTGTTATAATATTCTGATGCTCTGATGCATTATTACAAGGTGTTAAGTTTAAGCTCGTGACTTCTGCATTATATCTAAAATGTATTTATTTTTTGCTGTAGGAAATATGGAAGAAATAAAGGTGGGAAGTACATTTTATTAAACTATATTTAAATGCCACTAAGCACAAGTGCTATATTTAAGCAGATACGGTTGTACAGAGAGCATGGTTAAAACTGCTGCTTTAATTATTTGGTTTGACATCTTTATGTATGATTATCTTTTCTGTTGTACGGGTACTGGAGTTAATCATATCATTTCTTAAACTCTAAAATTCCAGTAAAAAATAAATAAATCTTATTTTGTAAATGAAGAAATTTGTATATTAAAAAAGGAAAGTGCCATTAGGATACATCTGAGTAATCTGCAAATGCACGTGCAGTGTTATCAGTTGTCGTACAGTTGCCAATCTATATCTTTTAAAATGCTTGCTCTAGCTAGCTGTTGTGGCATTGCAAGCCTGTTTGTATTATCTATGCACAACTAAAATAAAGAAGAATAAAAAAATAAAAAAAAGAGAAAAATGACTAAATTTATAGACTAAGCATTTTAAATTAAAAGTTAAATCTTTTAATGGAAAAAATATTAAATAAAGGCAGAACATTTTATACACGAGAGCATGATCGGACTTAAAAATCAACCTAACTTACCTATGTCCTGATATCCTTTAAGTGAACACTCCAAGTACCATTGCACTGCAACTTCATACCTGCGGTCTGACGGGTGTTGCCAAGTAGGAACTTCTGTTAGCTCTTCTGAACTAAGCCCTGCAACGCGTTAAGTCCTGAATTGCAGAGATTAGCTCAGAAGAGCTAACGGAAGGGAGTGGCATCCAGCAGATCTTAGATAAGAATACTGTTTGACTCCTTATATTGTTGGGGGGGGGGGTTACAATGATTTGTAGTGGTTATGGTGCTTTGAGTACACCTTTAAGTACCACAGTTCGCTCAAAATGCATATTTAGAATTTCTCTGATTGTATTGTGACCTTCAGAACAGGTTTTTAAAAAAACAAAACACATTCAGACAGTGATGATTTCTAAACATGTATAACCAAAGTAAGACTTAAAGGACCAGTATTGTTTTCTTTGCACTATAGGGTCATTTGATCGTCGTCCTCACCCTCAGGGTCCCATTCCCGCTGAAAGTGGCTGAAGGGGTTAAACACTTACCTTTCTCCAGCGCCTGGCTGGGGAACTCTCCTACCTCTGCCGACGTCAGCGCCGAATGCGCATGCGCGGCAAGAGCCGTGCGTGCATTCAATGCTTTCCAATGGACGTCCAGCGTCTTCGAACTGTGATTTTTGAGACAGCCACTAGAGGCTGGATTAACCCTAGTATAAACATGTTTACAGCTGCAGGGTTAAAACTAGATGGACTTGGCACCCAGACCACTTCATGGAGCTGAAGTGGTCTGGGTGCCTATAGTGGTCCTCTAAGCACTTAAAGCGGCACTGTCATGCCGAACTTACCTTTCCTCAATCTCTTCCGCTTCTCCCCCTCTCTCAGGATCTGTTATTCTTTTCTTCCTGTCTTCTTTAGTTTTCTTTAAAATCATAAGACAAAGCTCTGACCAGCGGAGGAGCAAAGTGTGCTTCATTTCCGCTGGTCAGAGCAATTTTCCCATGATCCTTACCTTCCCTCTGTGTTCCCACAATGCGTCCTGTCACTTTACACAAAACTGCCGAATTGCGTTCTAACTGAATGACAACAGTCTGTTCGTTTCTTTTAGAACGCAATTCGGCACTTTATTCGGATCAGAATTTCATTCGAATGAATCTCTGATCCTATTCTTGCTGTGGCTGCATCTTGCAGCCGCTTAGTAGATAACTCCCTAATTCCCATGGTATCAGGGAGTTATCTACTAAAAGGCTGAAAGACCTAAATTGGTCTTTCAGCCAACTTTACTAATACCAAGTAAAAATTACTTGGTATTAGTAAGTAATATGCCCCTACTCGCTATACTGCGAGTAGGGGCATGTCTGGTAAACAGTGAGCAGCCTGTGGCTGCTCACTGTAAAAAAAACTGTAAAAAAAACTATTGGCCCCCACGACGGGTGGGGGCCCTAAAATAAAATAAGGGGGGAGACCAAATGACCTACTGCCCCCCCCGACCCCCACCCCTGGGCGGCGGGTGGGGGGGGACCTACTGCCCCCCCCCGCCCCCACCCCTGGGCGGCGGGTGGGGGCCATGAAGATAATGAGGGGGGGGAACCTACTGTCCTTCCCCCCCCGGCCCCCACCCCCATAAGGAGAATGGGGGGGGACATACTGCCCCCCCCGGCCCCCACCCCTGGGCGGCGGGTGGGGGCCATAGTGAGAATGAGGGGGGGGGGACCTACTGCCCCCCCCGGCTCCCACCCCTGGGCGGCGGGTGGGGGCAATAATGAGGGGGGGGACCTACTGCCCCCCCCCGGCCCCCACTCCTGGGCGGTGGGTGGGGGCCATAAGGAGAATGGGGGGGGACCTACTGCCCCCCCCCGGCCCCCACCCCTGGGCGGCGGGTGGGGGCCATAATGAGAATGGGGGGGACCTACTGCCCCCCCCCGGCCCCCACCCCTGGGCGGCGGGTGGAGGCCATAATGAGAATGGGGGGACCTACTGCTCCCCGCCCTACCCTGGGCGCGGGTGGGGGCTATAATGAATGGGGGGCTCACGTTTTCATTTCTGGGCGCGGGTGGGGGCCTTGTGTCACTACCCCCAAGGTGATCGTTCTTTGTTCTATTTGTTACCTTAAAAATAGTGAGGGGATAATACTACCCCAGTTGTGTTTCAAATTATGGTTTTTTCAAATGCCTGTAATAAAATTATTATACTGCCGGTTTCGAAATAAAAATAAGAGCGCAAAATTTAAACTCGAAGAAAATATTCATTTCAGGGTTTCGCAGACTGAGCCTCCGCAGAGCCGGGAAGGCTTATAAGCCTTGCCCCGCTTCTGCATAATTACAAGAACACCTGATTGCGGGTTTAAGCCAATCAGAAGCAGCCTTTAATATTTTACACAGCGCGGGAAAATTCAAAAAGAACTTTCCCACGCTGTGTAAAATGACACAGAGCACTGTGATTGGATGGATTTCAAGCCATCCAATCACAGTGCTCTGTGTCATTTTACACAGCGTGGGAAAATTCAAAAGAACTTTCCCACGCTGTGTAAAATGACACAGAGCACTGTGATTGGATGGTTTGAAATCCATCCAATCACAGTGCTCTGTGTCATTTTACACAGCGTGGGAAAGTTCTTTTGAATTTTCCCACGCTGTGTAAAATGACAAAGAACACTCTGATTGGCTTAAACCCACCAATCAGAGTGTTCTTAGCCTAATTGCAGGGCGGGGCCAGGCTTTATAAGCCTTCCCCCGCTCTGCGGAGCTCAGTCTGCGCGGAGCCCTCCATGGGTGAAGATGGATTATTTTTTTGCGCTCGGGTTTTTTTTTTTGCGCTCGGGATTTTTATTTTATTTTCAATTCGACGGTTATGATGGTTTTTTATTTGGCCTTTTTTGGGGCTGAAAAAAGAAGATTTGAGAAAAAAGAAGACGTCGAATGGTAAGTTTAATCTTATTTTACAGGTTAGTTATTTTATCCCCCCCTCACTATTTTTTAGGGTGAGGGGGGTAGGTAGGGACTTGTTTTTTTTTGGGTGGGGGGTGGGTGACTAGGGGCTTGGGGACCCCTAGTCACCTTGGGGGGGGGTAATTGACTTAGGGCCCCCACCCGCCGCCCAGGGGTGGGGGCCGGGGGGAGGACAGTAGGTCCCCCCCCTCATTATCTTCATGGCCCTGCCACTTCTATAGTTACATATTACAAGGAGGGAGCTGCATGCCGGTAGCTCCCTCCTTGTAATAAACTGAACGAACAAACAAACACTGATACATTGTGTTTGTTTGTTTGTTCGGCTGATATTTCTATTCACTCATTCGTCTGTCTGATGAATGAATGAATAGATGAAATTCCCGTTCGCATGTCCAGGTGTTTCACTGGGCATGTGCGGGAATCTCACAGTCTGTCTAGTGTGGGCTGATGACGTGTCCCTGAGGGACTTCACCTACCCACACAAAGATGGCTGCGCCCTGAATATAGATCGGGGCAGATAATAAGGATTAAAAAATAGGTAATATGGGGGGCTTAGGGGCATTTGGGGGTGACTAGTGAGTCAATTGGATGTAGTGGAGGCGGGAGAGGGGTTAAAAAAAAAAACCAGAATTCGGCATGACAGTGCCGCTTTAAAAAACTGACAGTTCTCGTTTCATGTTTACAGTTATCACTCGTGTTTTGTCTTCCGTACAATATATAACCATTCACGGCAAGGGCATTATTAAAAGAGCACTTGAACATTAGAAATACAAACCTATATTTCTAACCTTAGAGTTACTCCTGGCTAGTTAGGTTAATGCCCCTCCCCCAAGGCATAAATTAAAAACTTTCAACTCACCAGTCTCGCCACAGCTGCCACGTCTACCTTGGCTGAGATAATCAAGGACAATGAATCTTTCTCCACCTCTCACTAACATTCTCAATCTCTCTCTCTCCTCTGGTATATTTCCATTGCCCTTCAAACATGCAACTGTAACCTCATTTCTAAAGAAGCCCAACCTTGACCTTAACTCTCCATCCAACTACCGTCCTATATCGCTACTGCCTTTTGCATCCAAGATCCTTGAAAGAATTGTGTATGCGAGATTGACAGACTTCCTCGAGTCCAACTCTCTGCTAGACCCGCTTCAGTCTGGTTTCCACGCTAAGCATTCTGTGGAAACGGCACTGACCAAAGTATCCAATGATCTACTCGCTGCAAAATCTCGTGGTAACTACTCTGTCCTAATTCTCCTTGACCTGTCTGCGGCTTTTGACACTGTTGATCATCAACAGCTTCTTCTCATCCTCCGCAATATCGGTCTACAAGATATTGCACTCTCCTGGTGCTCTTCCTACCTCTCCCAGCACTCTTGCAGTGTTTCTTTCTCTGGCTCTGCTTCTTCTCCCCAACTCCTCTCTGTTGGTGTCCCCCAAGGTTCAGTCCTTGGTCCCCTACTGTTCTCCATCTATACTGCCTCCCTTGGTAAACTCATTAGCTCCTTTGGCTTCCAATATAATTTCTATGCAGATGACACGCAAATCTACCTGTCCTCTCCTGATCTCTCCCCGTCTCTCTTGACTAGTGTCTCTGACTGCCTCTCTGCTATTTCAAACTGGATGGCTGCCCACTTCCTTAAACTAAACTTGACCAGAACTGAAATTCAGGTCTTTCCTCCTTCAAGTGTTGTTACTCCTGTGTCTCCCTCCTTCCAAGTCAACGGTGCTACCATCAGCTCCACCATGCAGGCTCGCTGCCTAGGTGTTCTCTTTGACTCCGATCTCTCCTTCAAGCTTCATGTTCAATCTATCGCCAAATCCTGCCGTTTCCATCTCAAAAACATTGCGCACATTGGCCCCTACTTAACGCCTGATGCAACTAAGGTGCTGGTCCATTTCACTGTCCTTTCTCACCTTGACTACTATAATCCGCTTCTCAGTGGTCTTACGTGCTCCCAACTCGCGCCATTACAGCCCATAATGAATGCGGGGGCGAGGCTCATCTTCCTGTCCACCTGCACCTCCCACGCCTCACCCTTCTGTCAGTCCCTACATTGGCTTCCTATAAGATATAGAGCTCAATTTAAAATTCTGGTTCTTGCTTTCAAATCTCTACATAATGCTGCTCCCACCTATCTATCCTCCCTTATACACAAGTATGTCCCCCGTCTAGGCCCTTACACTCAGCTGAAGACTTATATCTATCTTCTGTCTGTACTCCCACCTCTGATGCTTGCCTTCAAGATTTCTCGAGGGCTGCACCGTTCCTGTGGAACTCTCTTCCCTCCTCCGTTAGATGCTCACCCAGTCTCCAGTCCTGTTAAAAACCCACTTCTTCATAAAAGCGTATCAATTGAACGGTTAATAGCTGCCGACTGATTCCTCTTCTGCAACTGTCACTAGTCTAATACTATCCTTACCTTTTTGTATCATTTTACCCCACTCCCTCTAGCATGTAAGCTCATTGGCCCGCAGGGCCCTCAACCCCTCTGTTCCTATGTGTCCAGCTTGTCTGGTTACAACTACATGTCTGTTCGTCCAACCATTGTAAAGAGCTGCGGAATTTGATGGCGCTATATAAACAATAATAATAATAACAACAATCCAATGCTTCACCATAGGTAAGCACTAGTTAGGGTTAGTGCACATGTGCGGCAATCACTGCGCTGTGCCAGTCAGCATCTCCTGATAGAGATGCCTTATCCCAATGCATCTTTATGGGTAGCATTTTGCCATCTATATGCAGATCCTGTCTTGTAAAACTTGCATTCTAACAGTAAGCGTCTCTAGTGGCAGTCACAGCGGGTGTCCTTAGAGTTCAATGTATATACTGCCTTTTCTCAGAAAACCTGAGAGACTCCAAGGACGATCTCTTTGTACCAGAACTGCTACATTAAGCTGTAATGGTTCTGGTGCTTATAGTGTCCATTTAAGGATGTAGAGATGGGAAGGTTGTACACAAGACTGTTTGCATCCAATCCTGTATTTGTAATTTTCACTTTGATGGCACAGTGTTTAGATAGAACTTGCAGAACTTATAGTTTCACTACATTGTACCTTTAAGCTGCTAAGGTGAGTGGAAGAAAATTGTAGGTGCATGTGACAGGTGTATCCACATTTAGCATAACAAAAATCATAGAAGACGTTATCTTAAAAATTCTCCAGAAATTCCTAAACTTGCTATGACACTTCCATTAGCCAATAGTATCCAAGTAAATATGAAAAGAGAAGTTACATGGAAATGATGAAAAGAGCTGCAGGATATGAATTATACATTCTACCAGGCATCACTTATGTGTTCCATATTATATTAAGACATGAGATGCTTCCAGGAAAACATGATGTGAATCTGGCCATTCTTATGTTTAATCCCAAACACATTAAACCAAATACATTTCATATATGGTGATATTAAAGCATGTTTGCTTTCTGGTGTGCTTTTTCTTGTACTGTATTTGGTGTCATATTTAACAAATATGTATTTTAGTAGTGTTAAAAATAAAATGTAGAAATGCACATCTCTTTATCCAGCAAATGGGCACCTTCATCTTATCTCCCTGAAAATCATAGTAATAAGCTTTGTACTTTGCACCAGGCAATAAGCACAGAGAAAGCAAACATAGAACATGAGAAATGGAGCAATGTTGCTTTTCCTCCTCTTTATTTGCCTTGTCTCAACTAGATTCTGATGTCACATGCTAAATCTCTAAAGGGATACTATAGTGGCAGGAACACAAAAAGCTTGAAATGGCAGAGATTGTCAATTCTGATGATCCCCCTCATAGAAATGCATTGATTCAATGCATCTCTATCAGGAATGTTCAGAAAGGAGACACTAAATATCAGTGCTGAATATTGTGCACCGCTGACCCAGGAAGCACCTCTAGTGGCTGTCTGAGTGGAGGTATCCCTAGACGGCAACGTAATTCTCTAAGCAGGCAGTGTTTAAATGAAAATGCCTGCAGGGACTGACTATACGCAACAGAATAACTACAGTAAGCTGTAGTTGTTCTTTTGAATATAGTGTCCCTTTAAGCTAAAGTTGTTTTGCTATTTAAAGTATACTTTTATAAGGACACTATAGGCACCAAAACCGCTTTAGCTTAGTGGAGCAATTTTGGTGTACCGATCCTGCCCCTGCAGTCTCATTGCTCAATTCTCTGCCATTTAGGAGTTACATTGCATTGTTTATACAGCTTAGTCACACCCCCCTGCATATGACTTGCACATCCTTCCTAAACACTTCCTGTAAAGAGACATCTAATGTTTAAAGGAACACTATAGACACCCACACCACTTCAGCTCATTGAAGTGGTCTTGGTGCAGTGTCCCTGTCCAATTAGCCCTGCAATTCTTCTGAGAAATTGCAATAATTACCAGTGGCTGTCAATTAAGACTGCTTCTACTGGCTGTCAAACTAAGGTTCCATGGATAGATATGGAGGACGCCACAGCTGCCCCACACAAATTTCCCAATCACTCTGTATCAAACAACAAGGCACTCTTTACAACTCTGGCAAAAGCTAGCAAAACACATTTCAGTTATGGATAAAGTATCCAAAGTAATCCCTATACAAACATTGCACAACTGGATAGTGTCACGTCCCCCTCACCTCCATAGAGTGAGGTCCCATCCGATCGCTGTGGTCACATTGTTTAAAAAAAAAACAAAAAACAAAAACCCACTTACCTAAGGCAAGTCAGCTTGCCATTCAGCACCCTCATGCAGCGATCCCTGACCGGTGCTGCGTTCTAATGAACGTTGGCCACAACGGTCCCACAAAACAATATAGCCCCGCCTCCGTCAACAAAGATGGTGTCAATGTGTGTGTGACGTCACGCAAACGACACGCACGCACCTTTTGGGGGTCAAAGGCTATGTACAACTAATCATAGCCTTAGGAGGATTATTTAAACTCAAAATAGCATGTGGTCAGTGCCCTGTCGTGGTTTCCACTAGTTGGTTAACAGAGAGTGCGTTCCTATTCGAGTTCTTTTTGGTATTTGACTTTGACTTTCTCGTATCCTTGACTTTTGGCTTGTTTCCTCGTATCTCTTTCTAGTCCCTGACCTCGGCTAGTATTTTGACCATTCTTTATTTACGTTAAGTCCACCATTCATTATCCTTGTTTATTGTGTATTACATAGTTCTGCATGTTGGGTTATATAGTAATCGTGACAGATAGTAAATACAGATGTTTGTCTCTAGGCTGAAAGAGGAATCAGGAGAATGACAACATTTCAACACTTGTCTTCTCAATATCACTTGCATCCAAAAGACAATTACAAATTCATTCAAGTACATCTATTAAGATCACCTCAGTTACAAGAGGCTTTAGTTAACAAAATGAACTTCAGTAGAATTATTTATTACCCACCTAGAGAAAATAAAAAGTTTGAAACCTATGTGTTGCTGAACGATTCAGGAACATATGTAGAATATGGAACACATACATTTATTACATGTCATTGTGTTATGAGAATATATTGTAAGGCTTTCAATTTTTAATTTCTGTTACGTTCTTATACATCACTTGACCTTTTACTCTACTATTTGTATAATTTAATTGTGCAATGTGATTTGTGAAATCTTATTGTATGATGGGCCCACTGTATGTCTCACTTTGCCAATTAAAAATGAAAGATTGAAAAAAAAAAAAATTAGATTAAAAAAAAAAAATACTAAAACTGCTCACTCCCCACAGAATATAGTCCCTATACTTCTTACCTCACAAATTTACACAAACTGCATCCACTACACACACACACACTATATTCACTACACTAAAACACTGCATCAACTACACCCAAAAATACTCTGCATCCACCATACACACACAAATGCAGTGCATCCTTATGGACGGACTCTTGTGGATTGACTCGGGAGTTGACTGTGTGGGCCCAGGCCTTAAACTGTGTAAGGGGCTAAATTTCTGATGGCAGCCCTGTGTACTAGGATCCTAATCTGAACAGGTGCAAAATCTAACATTTCCACATTAGTAAATGTTGGGATAAAGAATTTATAAAAAGCCGACCAATGCCTAGCACTGTCAATAGTACTGAATTACTGTTTAAATTTTTTTTCCCGGGACTTTATTTAATTTCTTATCAAACTGGTGCAGCATATAATACTTCTTCCCAGTGGTCCAAAATACATAAATTAATATTCATTTGCTTTAATTTTATGACATCATTTATTTACAGATTTGTTGCAAAAGCACTGAAAATTCAAATTTTAGATGTAGCATTTTGCACCGAATAAGTAAACAAAATTCTCAAAATCTAAGTATTTAATCTGGCAGTAAATTTAGATCTACAGTTCAGGATATTTTACAGTGTGAATGCACCTTTTCCCTGATGCCATACTGAATTGAATGCAAGGGTCTCTTGAAATTGTATCAGTCATATACAAACAATGATTGAGTCATCAGATAAGCAGCTGTCCGAAATGTTTCTTGAAGCCTGCCTTGCAGAAAGAAAAGTAAAGTGGAGGGAGGAATAAATAGACGACACAACACCCTCCAATTCTGAGGTGTTGGGTGACCTATAAATACCAAGGGTACAGTTGGTTCTTGTGTAAAAGTTATACAAGTTACACAGACTACAGCTGCTCAGTATGTGCAGTGCAGCTACAGAGTCCATGCCTTAAAAAGTGGTTTTATATATATGTATTATTATTATCGCCATTTATATAGCGCCAAACAGATTCCATAGCGCTTTACAATATTATGAGAGGGGGGATTTAACTATAAATAGGACAATTACAAAAAACCTTACAGGAACGATAGGTTGAAGAAGGCCCTGCTCAAACGAGCTTACAGTCTATAGGAGGTGGGGTATAAAACACATTAGGACAGGAAATAGCAATCAAATAAGGTGGGAGTGAAGCAGAGCTGGAGGAGAGAGTAGAGTGCTGCCATTTAGGAGAGAGCAAGAGACAGGTATGTAAGGTAGAGGTTACTCTGGGAGGCCATAAGCTTTCCTAAAGAGATGGGTCTTAGGGCACTTCTTAAATGATTGAAGAGCAGGGGAGAGTCTGATGGCGGTAGGTAGGCTATTCCATAGGAAGGGAGCCGCCCGCGAGAAGTCCTGCAAGTGCTAGTTGTCCATACGGGGGCAAGCAGCAGACAGGAGATAGTCACAGGCAAAGCGGGGAGACCGAGAAGGGGCATGCCTATGGATCTGTGATGAGATATAAGAGGGGCTAGAATTGTTCAGTGCTTTATAGATAGGGGTTAGCACTTTGAATTGACTCCTATAGGATACAGGAAGCCAATGTAAGGACTGACAGAGGGGTGAGGTGTGAGACGACCATCAGTCTGGCGGCAGCATTCATTACAGACTGTAGCAGGGCAATACGGCTTTTGGGAAGACCAATTAGGAGAAGGTTACAATAATCCATGCGGGAAATTACTAGAGCTCCTTGGTAGCATCTTGCGTAAGAAAGGGGCGGATGCGGGCTTTGTTTTTAAGATGGAATTTAGAGGATTTGGCAACATACTGAATGTGAGGCTCAAAGGTAAGGCCAGAGTCAAGTATGACGCCAAGACAGCACGCTTGCAAGGATGGACTTATGTGGATAGCACTAACTTGAAGATAGAGCGAAAGAGGAGGGTCAGTATAAGGAGGAGGAAAGACAAGGAGCTCAGTTTTAGAGAGATTGAGTTTCAGAAAGCGGGATGACATCTAGTCAGAGATGGAAGAAAGGCAAGCAGTGACACATTGCAGGACTGCAGGGGAGAGGTCCAGGGAGGAGAGATATATCTGAGTGTCATCAGCGTACAGGTGGTAGTGGAATCCAAAAGAGGTAATAAGTTTGCCAAGAGAGGCAGTATAAAGAGAAAATAGAAAGGGACCAAGGATAGAGACTTGGGGGACTCCAACCAAGACAAGATGAGGAGGTGTCATTAGAATAGGAGACACTGAATGAGCGTTGGGAGAGATAAGAGGAAAACCACGAGAGGAGAGAGTTACAGAGATGATTGAAGAGTTTGAATATATATTCATACATACACACACACAGTAAATATCTCAATACTAAAAGAAGACCTTAATTCATAATTGAGTTGAAAAAACAAAATATACATCCTAACAAAGTCAAGGGGTCATGAGATCCTTGTATAAAAGATCTAAATTTCTGTAATGCTGGGGAAAAAGCAGCTAATATATAAATAGAAAATCATTTGGAGAAATGGAAAATAGAACACTCAGAATACTAAAAATGTAAGCTTGTGACTGATTAAGCTAATTATAATGGAGACTAAACTAATCAAAATGCATTAAAAGGGACACCAAGTGTCCCTGTCCCCTTAGCCCTGCAGCTGCAAACATTGTAGTTTTAGGGAAACTAATGTTTACATTGCAGATTTGAGACTGCTTCTAGTGGCTGTCTACCAGAAAGATGCTTTCTGCAGTTTCATGGAGTTTAACTTCGTAAAATTGCGCTGGATGTCCTCACACTGTGCATGATGACGTACAGCATCTTCAAATGCCCCATTGGAAAGCATTGTTTCCTATGGGGAAGGCCTAATGCATGCGCAAGGTTACCCCGATCAGCTGCAGTCTGTGGAGGAGGAGCCCAAACCAGCACCGAGGTACACCGGCGATGGAATCAGATAAGTGTTTAAACCCTATATAATGCCATGGTGGCGGCAGAAGGACCATTTAGTGTTAGGAATACAAAAATGTATTCCTAATACTAAAGTTTTCTTTTGAAAGCACTGATCTTAAGCACAAGACACGTGAAACAGGATATAATTTGTGCAGCATTGTACGATTATGTAATACATAATAAAATTAATAAAAACACATAATTAATCTCTTCCATTGCTTTTTTTATGTAGCCAAACAAAAACGGTGTGTATGGAAAAACAACCGCTAAGGCACAAAGGAAGCAACAAATTTATAAGGGACACTATATAGGCTCCCAGACCACTTCAGCTCATTGAAGTGCCCTGGGTGCAGTGTCCCAGTCCCACTTAATCCTGCAATGTAAATCATTGCAGTTTTTGAGAAATGATCAGACAGACAATCAGACAGCAACTAGAGGCACTTCGTGCTTGCTTTGCGACTAACTCAGGGGTAGTCAACCTTCTAATACCTACCGCCCACTTTTGTATCTTTGTTGATGGTAACATTTCCTTACCGCCCACCAATGCCGCAGTAACTAATTTTACTGCGCAAGTGTGGTTTTTTTAAAGAAGTTTTTTTTAAATATGTACTTAAATTAATATATTTTTAACTTTTTTTTTCTATTCTACTTTTTTTTTCTATGTGTCTGTAAGGTGCTGTGTGTGTGAAGGGTGTAGTGTGTGTGAGAGGTGCAGTATGTGTAAGGGGACAGTGTGTGTTGGGTGCTGTATATGGGTGAGGGGAGATCTCATCAGCCCAAGAGGGCTTACAGCAAGGCTGGCTGGCCCTTCAGGGGAGATAAAAGGTAGGTAGGGACCAGGTTGACTACCACTGGACTAACTGATACTGGACGTCCTCACACTCTGCAGGAAGACATCCAGCATCAGTTAAATCCCCATAGGAAAGCACTGAAGCAAGGGAGGGCCAAATGCGCTCACGGCGCATGCGCATTAGCCCCCTATCAGGTGATATCAGTGGAGATTGGTGCTGGAATTGGGTAACTGTTACAATGTTTATTTAACCCTTGAGGGGAAGGGATCCCTGTAATAAATTGTGCATAAAAAGGCAAAACTTTCTGTGACACTTTGATGAATCTCCCCATTACTTAAAGGGACACTGTACGCACCATTGAGGTGGTCTGGGTGCAGTGTCAGTGCTTTCCCTGCGTGCAGCATTTGCCACTGCTCATTGTGGGACGGGGGTGGGGGCAGAGTATTGACCCAGCGCTGAGGGACATCTGCGCTGGGGTATGGTAAGTAAACAAAGGGTTTTAAACCCTTTAACTGGGTGGGTGGGGGAGTGATAGTGCCAGGAATACAGGTTTGTATTCCTGGCACTACAGTATCCCTTTAATTTTGCATATTTTCGTATGCTCTATGCTGACTGCCAGGTACAACTAACACAGCTTATAACAATGATTATCACCGATCTAAGATGTAGGCATCCATTTACAAGATAAAAATGTGTGAATTAATTTTATTTTCACACCCTACAAATACATATTTGTTACACATAGTGATAAGCAAAACAGAATATTACAAATTCTGAGAAATGACAGTTTCCCTTTAAGCTACTCTGACTGTGTAGACCAGGGGTACTCAGATGTTTTTAAACTACAGCTTCCACTATGCTTTGTCAATCTAAAAAGGTATGCAAAGCATCATGGGAGTTACAGTTTCATAACATCTGGGGACATACCTTTTGGGCAGCCCTGGTGTAAACAAATGAAAAGAAGATAACGTTTTTGGTCTGGCATTGGTAGGTGATTACCATAATAATAAGAATGGCTAGATCTCTCACAAACATTTGATAGAAAAACTACCGTATATACTCGTGTATAAGTCGATCTCATGTATAAGTCGAGTGCAGTTTTGTGACCAACAATTGTCAAATATGCTATGCCTCGTGGATAAGTCGAGGGTGAAATTCTGTGATTTTTTATAATTATACACACACACACTCATACAAACACACACTCTGCATTATATACACACACACTTATACAAACACACACTCTGCATTATATACACACACACACACACACTACACAAACACACACTCTGCATTATATACACACACTCTGTGTATATAATGCAGAGTGTGTATATAATGCAGAGTGTGTGTTTGTGTAGTGTGTGTGAACTGGGTGGGGGGAGGGAATTTTTATTTAAATTTATTTTTTTATTTTAATTTTTTTTATTATTTTAATTTTTTTTTGTCCCCCCCTCCCTGCTTGTTAACTGGTCAGGGAGGGGGGCTATCTTAATCCCTGGTGGTCCAGTGGCATGGGCTGTGAAGTGGGGGGGCCGGCAGGAAGCATTTACTTACCTTTCCTGCAGCTCCTGTCAGCTCCCTTCTCCTCCGTTCCGGTCAGCTCCACTGTAAGTCTCGCGGTCTGGTTGCCGCGAGGATCGTTGCCACGGCTCTGACGGCCGCGGCTCTCTAAGTTGCCATAATACAGACAGTGACTCGAGTATAAGTCGAGTGGGGGTTTTTAAGCATAAAAAATGTGCTGAAAAACTAGACTTATACTCGAGTATATACTGTATTCCCTTAGATTTTTAATGGCCGATCTTAGTTTGTATTTTTTTTCTTTGTAATCAATTGGTTAACACAAAATAGAGTAATAAGAGCAAAACATTATTTTCAAATCAATGGCACTCTATGTGTTAAGTGTTATAGGCAAGGCAGACAATGTCTAAACCAGGAAAAAAGATAATTGGCACAGGGATTTGTAAAGTTGATGATGTTGATTACCAAATTGGAATAATTCTCTAACTCAGCTATTTTGGCTTAAACATTTTAGTGAATAAAGAGTCTAGTGAACATACTTCACAGTGTTATTCTTCTCCAAATTATACGCAAATCGTTAATGTGAAGGTCTTATCTAGCTTTAGTCCTGAGTCTTTAACTACAGGCATTCAAATGCTTTGTACCTCATTTTTGGGGAGAAATTAACTGTTTTTGTCACAGTGATTTTACCAAATACATTAGAGACATATGGCTCCTGATCAAAAAATTGTTATTCACTTAGAATAAAGAAAATAATGCTATCTGGTCTCTGCAAGACAGACAGACAGACAACTATTGAACATATCTTTGAGAAAAATTACTAAAGAGTACAACATTTAGTACAAAGCAAACAAAAAAAAATACCCCTAAAACATTAAAGTCCATTTTTAATATCAGGACTTGACTGCTAAGCGTATTGCATTTATTTTATTTATTACTGGTATATATAAAGCGCCAACAGATTCCGCAGAGCTGTACAGTTGGTGGAGAACGTACAATATACCGGTACACAGACAAATACAAGAGGTAGAGAGGGCCATGCCCGTAAGCTGATAACTAATGTCTTATTTCCAATAAACTGTATTGGTTTTCCAACCAAGTGCTTTGCAAATTAAAACATGCTCTTGTGCTTTGACTTCCCAGTAACATTAAATGCTGTGTAAAATTATAAATAAAGAATTCTCCTGCACTTGGTTTACAGAAACATGATATTTATCTGCACCTGTTACAAAAACACTCAGGAGTATGCTTGCTTATAATGGAGAACTGCAATACCATTCACAAGTATGGGACTAACAGCAAATGAGATAAGTATTCTAATGGAGGGAAGGAAAACACATGTCCAAACAAGGGGAAGGGGGAAAACCAGTAGTGACACATCCTTTTGTTTAAACCAGTCTTAAAGTAAATATAATCCAGAGGAAATGTGCAGTCTCAAATAAACCCAGTTTTGTTTAAGAAAAAAAAAAAAGAAGTGATACTATCACTTTGGTGACGAGGACCTTTAGCAATTAAACCTCTTCCAATCAAAATATCCCAAATGTGTCTGTTAAATAATGTATTAACACTGGCCCTTCAGTGACACAGCAATTCATTATTTTAGAGTAAAAAGTATAGATTTGCTAATAAGTAACACATGATGGTGTTGAGAAAATGGCATACGCAAGGAATCTATTTGTAACCTCTTAGTTCATATAAAATATATGAACACACGGTTTTAAATAAGTGTACCTTACTTAACATGAGCTTTACAAGTATTCAATTTCTCGTTAAATATCACAATTACAGTTGGAGATGATTTGTAAAAATGTTCAAGCCAGATAACCTTATCTTTGAGCCAACATGAGTTATCGGGTTGCTAGGTTAGCATGTGCAGAGTTTTATATAATACACTAAAAATGTTAAGAGACTGTAGTTTTAGGATACCTGAATCTTACTAAGGAGCTAGGCAAACAGGCATAATTAATAGTGGTGTATTCACCAAATTGTAGTAAACTGAATACAACAATAGCGGATTTGTAAAAATAAAAATATCCCAGCCCACCTACAATCGCAGATTGGATATGTTATCATAATTTTGCACAATTTGGAGCTTAGTGAACAAACACTAACAGAGTTCTGTTTATGATAATAAGCAAATGTAGGAAGCAAGCATTTTTGTATCCCTGAATCTTAATGAGGAACAGGCATATTCAACAGAGTTCTGTGCAAGTAACGAAAGAAATGTTAGGAGCCAGCATGTTTAATTTGAGGACCTCTGGACTTGACTTTCATCAAGACCTTTCCAATTCGACAGGGCAGGTGTCAGCCTTTTGGGAGCAGTGCTTTCTGCTTTAACTGTCCAAACACTGTTTATGCAAACTTCTTAATTACACCATGAATGATTTAGAGCCCAAAGCAAGAATGAAAGCAGTAAACAGATTGATGAAGGTGGCCAGGATCCACGCGTTATACATTATCTATGGGGTTAATATCTTCATGTGGGAAGTAGCCCACAGATTGTAAATACATACATATATTGTTTTTACATTAACCACGTGTTAAAATTTGCTGTCATCCCAATCTGGTCTCTAAATACATTGTCAGCATGGAATATCTTCTTTTTCTTAAGCTTCGTCTGCTCTATGCAGCCGCTCATTGAGTGTGTAAATACATTTTTGAAATATGATCTTTAAAGAACAGATTGTTATGACGACATAGACCATCATCAGTCATTAAGGGGTTAAACTCCACCCAGGGCATTAATCACCCCAGGATAGGTGCTGGACCACTTCCGAGGGCTTACTCACCTCCATCTCCATAAGTCTCGATACCATAGCCGTCCTGCAGTCCATTGCTCCAGGTGCCCTCATACCTGGCCTGAGTGGTGAGACTCTGCCGGATCCCGTAGCGCCCCTTGAAGCCATGAGACCATTCCCCCCTGTACATCCACCTGCCCTTGGTCTCCACGCCCAGCCCATGCCTCTTGCCCTGCGCCCAGTAGCCTTGGTACAGGTTGCCACTCGGCCAGGTGTAGACGCCAACCACTTCGAAGCCATGGGACCAAGAACCAGAGTACTCCCCTTGGCCCTTGGGGCCCGTGCATATGCCGTGCCCATGGGCTTTGCCATCCTCCCAGCCGCCACAATAGGTGCCGCCATCATCGAAGTCGAAACGTCCGCCCGTCATTCAGGGGAGCAGTGTAGAAAGGGCTCCGGGCTGAGGAAGCGGGGCTTGTGCTGCTGCAGGCAGAGCGTGGAAGCTCACAGTGTGTGTAAATCTGCACCCTGTCTGATAATGCATCCCCTGGCTTTCAGCAATCTTTAGGTCTCCACCCACTGTTCAGCCTACTCATCACTATACAATATACAGGCTGCTAGAGGCATGGACTGACGAAAAAAAAAAAAAAAAAACACTCAACCCAGAACACTGAGAAATAACTCCACCCATTGATCTGCCCACTCCACTATACAGTCTACCATGGGGATAGCTGGAGAAACAGAATGGGAAATATAACTCAGCCCACTATACACACCCCCTGATCTGCCCACTACACTATACAGACTTCCAGAGGGAATAGGTAGCTCTCCAGCTGTTACAGGACTACGACTCTCATATTGCTTTACCAGCAGGAAGGATAGCAAAGTGTCTAATGTGCTGTATTTCAGCAACATCTTGGGATATATTTCCTGATCACCGCTGGAATTGGAACCACTGTTTAAATCCCAGGGCATGCAGAATCTAACAGAGCAATACTGTAAGGGAGACTAACCTAAGAAACACTGGGAGGGACACACGGACTGTGCCATATCTAGAATGGAAGCTTATATTAGCAGGGACCACTACACCCTCTGTTCGTGCGCGTCCAACTCGTCTTCTTACAAATACATTTCTGCTAGTCCACCTATTGTACAGCGATGTGGAATTTGTTGGCACTTTATTAATAATAATAATAATAATAATAGTGTGAGGGATAGAAAGACATTGATACAGTGTGATATCGAAACCTGTCAAAGTGTGAGAGAATAAGAGACACTGAAAGGAAGACAGTGAGACAGTCACAGTGTGATAGAAAGATGGAAATACTGAAAGGGAAACTGTCAGTGTGAGGAAATAAGATAAGAGACAGATACTGAAAGTAGAGAGAGAGACAGACAGTCACAGTGTGAGAAATAGAGAGACAGTCAGTGTCAGGAATAGAGAGACAGTCATACTGTGTGAGAGACAGTCAGTGTGAGGAATAGAGAGACAGTCATACTGTGTAAGAGACAGTCAGTGTGAGAAATAGAGAGACAGTCATACTGTGTGAGAGACAGTCAGTGTGAGGAATAGAGAGACAGTCAGTGTGAGGAATAGAGAGACAGTCATACATTGTGAGAGACAGACAGTGTGAGGAATAGAGAGACAGTCAGTGTGAGGAATAGTGAGACAGGGATACTGTGTGAGAGACAGTGTGAAGAATAGAGAGACAGTCATACATTGTGAGAGACTGTCAATGTGAGAAATAGAGAGACAGTCATACTGTGTAAGAGACAGTCAGTGTGAGGAATAGACAGTCATACATTGTGAGAGACAGTGTGAGGAATAGAGAGACAGCCATACATTGTGAGAGACAGTCAGTGTGAGGAATAGAGAGACAGTCTTACTGTGTGCGAGACAGTCAGTGTGAGGAATAGAGAGACAGTCATAGTGTGCAAGACAGTCAGTGTGAGGAATAGAGAGACAGTCATAGTGTGCAAGACAGTCAGTGTGAGGAATAGAGAGACAGTCTTACTGTGTGCGAGACAGTCAGTGTGAGGAATAGAGAGACAGTCATAGTGTGCGAGACAGTCAGTGTGAGGAATAGAGAGACAGTCATACATTGTGAGAGACAGTCAGTGTGAGGAATAGAGAGACAGTCATACATTGTGAGAGACAGTCAGTGTGAGGAATAGAGAGACAGTCGTACTGTGTGCGAGACAGTCAGTGTGAGGAATAGAGAGACAGTCATAGTGTGCGAGACAGTCAGTGTGAGGAATAGAGAGACAGTCATAGTGTGCGAGACAGTCAGTGTGAGGAATAGAGAGACAGTCATACATTGTGAGAGACAGTGTGAGGAATAGAGAGACAGTCATCCAGTGTGAGAGACAGTCAGTGTGAGGAATAGAGAGACAGTCATACATTGTGAGAGACAGTGTGAGGAATAGAGAGACAGTCATACATTGTGAGAGACAGTCAGTGTGAGGAATAGAGAGACAGACATACATTGTGAGAGACAGTGTGAGGAATAGAGAGACAGTCATACATTGTGAGAGACAGTCAGTGTGAGGAATAGAGAGACAGTCATACATTGTGAGAGACAGTGTGAGGAATAGAGAGACAGTCATACATTGTGAGAGACAGTCAGTGTGAGGAATAGAGAGACAGACATACATTGTGAGAGACAGTGTGAGGAATAGAGAGACAGTCATACATTGTGAGAGACAGTCAGTGTGAGGAATAGAGAGACAGTCATACATTGTGAGAGACAGTGTGAGGAATAGAGAGACAGTCATACATTGTGAGAGACAGTCAGTGTGAGGAATAGAGAGACAGATTGGGTCACAATGTGAGGGAATAAGATACAGGAACGCTGCGAGGAGGAGAGAGACACTGTGTGTTGGACAGACAGTAATTGGTTTCCTAGGTAGCAGAGTAGATACTTTCTCCCTCACTGTCACTGTGCCTGTCAGCTGCTTCCATGGACTGAGGGGAACTGGGTGTGGCGTGCACGAGGTGTTACGTCAATCAGCAGACAGTGCACCAATCAGAGGATGGATAGGCAGACAGTGCACCAATCAGAGAATGGATAGGCAGACAGTGCACCAATCAAAGGATGGACAGGCAGACTATGCACCAATCAAATGATGGACAGGCAGACTGTGCACCAATCAGAGCATGGAGGCAGACAGTACACCAATCAGAGGATGGACAGGCAGACTGTGCCCCAATCACAGGATAGTCAGGCAGACAGTGCACCAATCAGAGACAGGGGCGGGCATTGTAAGCTGTGGTAGCTTTAACTCTTAGTGTGCGGGTTCCGCAGCGATTTTTGTATCGCTGGTTCATGTGCTATCATAATGGAGGCAGAGCATGGCTTGGGCAACATCACAGCAGCTTTCATGTTAATAATGATAATATGACACAATATGGACAAGCCCAACATTCCCCAATGTTGCATGCAAATACAGTGAAGAGTGAATGCCGGCCGGGCATCCTCGGCAATTTCCGTGACTCCGCCCACATCACCCAACGCTATCCTTGAATGCTTTAAGAAAGATGACGCCCAGCCTTCCTCGGCAATTTCCGTGACTCCGCCCACAGCTAATCAGCCTGGCCGTTCCCTATTACAATAGCCACAAACAAGCCAGAGATCCAGCCATGTGCTCAGAAAAAGGGAGTGGATGTATTGAAGGGGGGTGTAAAGGGCAAGAGTTATGTCTAATTAAAAGGTGGGGAAAAATTATTAAAGGGACACTTCAGGTACAATGAAGTTGTTATGGTGGCAGTAACCCCGGGTGCACTCTTACCTAAAGGAGTTAAACCAGTCTCGAACGGGTTAACTCCTAAGTTGCCTCCAGCTGCGATTTCATCTTTCCCCCAGGCCGGATCTGTTTTCTTAAAGGGACACTATAGTTACCTGAACAACTTTAGCTTAATGAAGCAGTTTTGGTGTATAGAACATGCCCCTGCAGCCTCACTGCTCAATCCTCTGCCATTTAGGAGTTAAATCCCTTTGTTTATGAACCCTAGTCACACCTCCCTGCATGTGACTTGCACAGCCTTCCATAAACACTTCCTGTAAAGAGAGCCCTATTTAGGCTTTCTTTATTGCAAGTTCTGTTTAATTAAGATTTTCTTATCCCCTGCTATGTTAATAGCTTGCTAGACCCTGCAAGAGCCTCCTGTATGTGATTAAAGTTCAATTTAGAGATTGAGATACAATTATTTAAGGTAAATGACATCTGTTTGAAAGTGAAACCAGTTGTTTTTTTCATGCAGGCTCTGTCAATCATAGCCAGGGGAGGTGTGGCTAGGGCTGCATAAACAGAAACAAAGTGATTTAACTCCTAAATGACAGTGAATTGAGCAGTGAAATTGCAGGGGAATGATCTATACACTAAAACTGCTTTATTTAGCTAAAGTAATTTAGGTGACTATAATGTTCCTTTAATTTTCCCTTACAAGAAGCGCAGAGTGCCTCCTTGCAGGGGCGCTGCTGATTGGTGGTCAGCTGACGTTCTCAGGCAATTTGTAACTCCCCATTCACTAAACTGGTTTGGAAAGAAACCTACCTGTTGTTTTTGTGCCTGGAGTGCCCATTTAATTGGGGGGAGAGGGGACAGCTGCTAAATGTCGATTTCAGTCACAGATAAAGTGAGAAGTGACCAATAAAGGTGGGAAATCGAGGACCAGTAAAAAAAAAATATATACATATCCAGACTATATACTAAAGTGAGTATTCATATTTAACCCCTTATTATTTTTTTTACACTTTTTATTTATTTTATTTTTATTTTCAGCCAGCAGGGGGACCACCTGTCATTACAGGCAGTCCCCCTGCTGGCAATGCTGCAGCCAGATACCCCCGGCCATGTGATTGTGGGGTCCTCGCAAGGACCCCACTCTCACACGGCCGGGGGGCTTCGAGGAGGACGGACGTGCCGCGGGGGGCTCCCTGGGAGTCCCCCCCACCGCGATCGCCGGCGTGTGATCGCCGGCGACCGGGTAAGTACCGAAAGACCTGAGGGCGTACTATGACGCCCGGCGGCGTTTAGAGCCACTTAGAATAGGGCGTAATAGTACGCCCTCCGGTCTTAAGGGGTTAAGGACGGAGCCAAATGTACACGTTGTGAACAAAACAAAATGTAAACAAAACCTGGCATTTGCGCTTCATGTCTGTCCAACCGTAATTCACCTCTTTCATAGTAAATGCATCCACCCTTATTATATATCATTTTATTCAGGGGAAACAGGGCTTTCATTTAATATCAAATATTTAGCTATGAAACATAATTTAATATGAAAAAAATGGGATAAAATACGATTTTTTTTATTTTTTTAGTTCTACATGACATTTTAACGGTCAATGTCATAATACTGCTTGCTTTTACTGCAATAAAATACACATATTTGTATTCAGTAAAGTCTCACGTGTAAGACAGTACCCCCTATGTACAGGTTTTATGGCGTTTTGGAAAGTTACAGGGTCAAATATAGCATGTTACATTTGAAATTGAAATTCGCCAGATTGGTTACGTTGCCTTTGAGACTGTATAGTAGCCCGGGAATGAAATTTACACTCATAATGGCATACCATTTGCAATAGTAGACAACCCAAGGTATTGCAAATGGGGTATGTCCAGTCTTTTTTAGTAGCCATTTGGTCACAAACACTGGCAAAAGTTAGCGTTAGTATTTGTTTGTGTGTGAAAAATGCAAAAAACGCCAATTTTGGCCAGTGTTTGTGACTAAGTGGCTACTAAAAGAAGGCACGAACTGCTACCTGACTACCAGCTCTGTAGGTTGTCTCTAATAAATAATTTAAAAGAAATAATTTTTCATTCTTGGGCTACCATAGGGTCTCAAAGGCAACGTAACCAATCTGGCGAATTTTAATGTGAAAAAAATGAAATGCAAGCCTTATATTTGACGCTGTAACTTTTGAAAACACCATAAAACCTGTACATGAGGGGTACTCTTGTACTCAGGAGACTTCGCTGAACACAAGTATTTGTGTTTCAAAACAGTAAAAAGTATCACAGCAATAATATTGTCCGTGTAATGCAGTTTGTGTGTGAAAAATGCAAAAAACCTCACTTTTACTGGCGATATCATCGTTGTAATACATTTTACTGTTTTTAAACACTAATATTTGTGTTCAGCGAAGTCTCCTGAGTAGAACAGTACCCCCCGTGTACAGGTTTTATGGTGTCTTGGAAAGTAATAGGGTTAAATATAGTGCTAGCAAATTAAATTCCCTTTACTTTCGGCATGGGTTGTCAGGCAGGTCCTGCTAACTGTAATTAATTAAGAAACCTAATTATGTAAAAATATTACATAAATATATATGTAGAATTAATATATGTATATATATATACGTATGTGTATATATATATGTATATATCTATATAATTTTTTAAAAATATTTTTATTTATATATAGGTATATATATAGTGATATATACGTATATATTTATGTATATAGATATATATATTATTTAGTTCTACGTGTATTTTGATATATATATATATATATATTTATTAATTTCACAATACAGTTAGAACGAAATAACACACATCTATATATTTTTAAACTATTTATTTTTAATTATTTTTTTAATTTTATTTTTTAACGTATTTACATTTTTTTTATATTATATATAAATATATCTATAACAATAATTATATATATATTTAATCAGTATCAGTCTACGTGTAATTTGATATTAATATATATATATATATAATTATATATATTAACCCCTTAACGACGCTGGACGGAAATTTTCCGTCAAGGCAGACCTACCCTTAAGGACGCTTGACGGAAAATTTCCGTCAATTACTAAAGTTAACCCTTTGATCACTGGCAGCAGAGATCACAATACTGATCACAGTACTTTACTGAGATCAGAGGGTTTTTTTAACCCTCAGGGGTTAACTTTATTTTCTTTTTAACCCTCAGGGGTTAAATATATTTAATTTTTTTTTTTTTTACTTTTATTTTCAGTTAATTAGTTAGCTGGGGTGGATTGAAGCTAGGGGGAATTGGGGAATCTAGCATTAGTGTAGCTAGGAAGCTGAAAAGTTTTAGAAAGTTATTAAAAGTTTATAAAAGTTATTAAAAGTTTATAAAAGTATAAAAAAAAGTGAAAAAAGGAAAAAAAGAGAAAAAAAAGTAGTTTATTTTAAGTCAAAGCATTTCTGCTTCGCTAGGTGTAAGCACGGTGATCTGATTCCTGTTTTTACCCACAGGGGTTCATTTTTAAAAAAGTTTTTAGAAGTTTTAGAAAGTTTTTAAGAGTTTTAAAAAAATTAAAAAAAGTATTAAAAAAATTCAGAAAACAAAAAAAAGTATAAAAAAAGTTAAAAAAACAAAACAAAAAAATACGTTATTTAGTTAAAGTTAATTTTAAGCTTTCACCATGCTTATAAAGTTTAGTGCCGAGGAGGCATATAATATATTAGCAGCCGACTCAGAGGCAACCGACACTGCCTCAGAGAGTGCAGAGGGTGACTATGTGCCAGACACTGATGAAGAAAGTGACGATACCCCTGGCACTGCTCCTGGCACTGATATCTGGGTGCCCCCTAACAATTTTGTCCCCGACATCCCTCTGTTCACTGCGACTCCTGGTATTCAGGGAGACGTGACCAGCTATAACTCCCAGGATTTTATGGAGCTGTTCCTTGGGGATGATTTTTTAGGGCAGATAGCTACACAAACAAATATTTATGCAGCGCAGTATCTGGCACAAAATGCAACAAGTCACCTTGCCACTAGTGATGTCGCGAACCCGAAATTTTCGGTTCGCGAACGGCGAACGCGAACTTCCGCAAATGTTCGCGAACCGGCGAACCGCCCGAAACGCCATTGACTTCAATGGGGAGGCGAATTTTAAAACACACAGGGACTCTTTCTGGCCACAATAGGGATGGAAAAGTTGTTTCAAGGGGACTAACACCTGGACTGTGGCATGCCGGAGGGGGATCCATGGCAAAACTCCCATGGAAAATTACACAGTTGATACAGAGTCTGGTTTTAATCCATAAAGGGCAGAAATCACCTAACATTCCTAAATCACAATCAATATGGATTGACACCTGACATATGACATATTGACACCTTGACATATGGATTGACACCTGTCCTCAGAGCCCCTGATGCACACGGACACAGAGCAGAATAGAGACTGGTCCCCCTACATAGGGTCACTTGGCAGATATGGATTGACACCTGTCCTAAGGATCCCTGATACACACTGACACAGAGCAGAATAGGGACTGTTCCCCCTACATCGGGTCACTTGGCAGATATGGATTGACACCTTGTTACAAACTGCTATTTGTAACGGGCCCTTTAAATGGCAAATTGCCCTGTTTCCCTGGGTTGTGGAGAAGCCTCTTTGCCAGCCTCCTCCCGCATGACTATGGCCCCTGGGAGATTGTGAAAATGTATGCACTTTTATTTGGTGTGTATGGCCCTTTAAGACTGTCGGTGGGCATATTGGGGCTTATGGACTCTTTATGTGACTGGTGCTGGCCCTTTAAACACCTTTTTTGGGACATCAGGAAGATTGGGACACTGCCCCTTTAAGGCCGTGTCCCCAGACTTGTTGGGGACACGGCCCCTTTAAGACGGTGTCCCCTGTGTCCCCAGACCTGGTGCAAACCCTTTGTGCCTGCCTTGCTATTTCCCACTTGGTTCAGTAAATGGGAAATTATTTCAGCTGCAGAGACTAAGTCCCGATACGTGGGACAGTCTTTTCGTTTTTCAGC